AGGTAGATCACCCGCAATTCCAAGGGGGACCATTTTCTTTTTTATTTTTTTAATTGGAATTTTATTTTATTTTTATTGAAGTTCAGTCACAATGTGTCAATTTCTGGTGTACAGCACAATGTCCCAGTCACGCATATACATACATATATTTGTTTTCATATTCTCTTTCATTAAAGGTTATTACAAGATATTGAACATAGTTCCCTGTGCTATACAGAAGAAATTTTTTAAAAATCTGTTTTTATATATAGTGGCTAACATTTGTAAATCTCAAACTTCCAAATTTATCCCTTCCCACCCCATGGGGGGCCATTTTCTCAGATGATTTTCAAAGTCAGTTTCTTGATAATATAATTGGTCTAGGGACATACGGCCCTTTGATTAAACCCCTACTAATGTTTCACTAGAGTACTCATCATCATACTATTTTTTTGGTTAACTATAGAGTACTTATTTAAGAATGAAACAAAACTGGCTTCTTTTGAGGATACACACACACACACACATATGTGATCTCTCTTGTTCTCTTGGATGCTACATAATGGAAAAGTTCCCATATACCCATTAATATGAATATTATGCAATATGTAAATTATAAAACTTGCGTTAAAAATATTTGTACTGAACTTTACCTTTGTGAGTAAGTTTTTTCTTCATAATAACTATAGATGAAGATGTAGATGATCTACATGACCTATATGTTGCTGTGATACTTCCAGTTCACTAACTAGATTAGACTGGTTTATCAGAAGCATAATATATATGAAAAGCCAGTATTTATGTACTAAATGAAACACTATTCTGAGGTCTGTAGCTATACTGTGAAGTGTTATGTCCTTGAAAATGCCAGAGATACAGACCAGACAAAATGATTTTGAAAAAGAAAAACAAAGTTAGAGGACTCAGACATCACATTTCAAAACTAAAACACTGCAGTAATCAAGACAGTGTGGTACTGGCATAGGAAAGACATGTAGATGAATCAAACAGAGTTGAATGTTCAGAAATAAATCATATCATTTATGGTCCACTGACTTCTGACAAAGGGGCCAAGCCAGTTCAGTGGGGGTAAGAATAGTCTTTTTCAACCAAACCGAACGATGAGACAACTGGATTTCCATATGCAAAAGAATGAATTTGGACCCCTACTTCCCACCACATATAAAAAGTAATTTAAAGTGGATCACAGGCAGAAGTCTAAGAGCAAAAACTATAAAACTCTTAGGAAAAAACACAGAAGTAAGTCTTCATGATCTTAGATTAGGCAATGACTTCTTAGCTACAAAAGCAAAATCACAAATGTTAAAAGACAGGATTGATTAGCAGGACATCAAAAGCAAAATCACAAATGTTAAAAGACAGGATTGATTAGCAGGACATCATTAAAATTTAAACATTTGTGCTTCAAAGGACATGCTCAAGAAAGTGAAGACAACCCATGTCAGGGGAGAAAAATATTAGCAAATCATATATCTGATATGGGATTTGTATCCAGAATATGTAAAGAACTCTTACAACTCAACAACAAAAAGACTTTTATCTAAAGATACACAAATGACCAATAAGCACAGGAAACGATGCTCAATGTCATTAGCCTTCACAGAAATGCAAATGTAGACCACAATAAGCGAACACTTCATATCTATTAGGGTGATTATAATAAAAAAGATCATTATAATAAAAAGTAACATTGTTACTGTTATTAGGGCATGAAGAAATTGGAACCTTTCCTTATCCAGTGCTGGTGGTAACGTAAAATGGTGCAGCCACTTTGCAAATCAGTTTCGCAGTTTCAAAAGATGTTAAATATAGAGTTATGAAATGACTCAACAATTCCAATACTAGGTATACACTCAAGATAACTGAAAATATGTTCACACAAAAACTGAACACAAATGTTTATAGCAGCATTATTTATAATAGTCAAAAGATGGAAACAATCCAAATGTCCATCCACTGATGAACAGATAAAGAAAATGAGGTATATTCATATGGCATAACATTTTCAGCCACAAAAAGAAATGAAGTTCTGGTATATGCTACAACATGGATAAATCTTGAAAACATGTCTAGTCAAAGAACCAGTCACAAAAGACCACATATTGTGTGATCCTATCTATACAAAGTGTCCATAATAGGCAAATCTATAGACCGAAAGTAGATTAATAATTGCATAGAGCTGGGGAGGTGGGAATAGTCTTTTTGGGGCGATAAAAATGTTCTAAAATTAGATTATGGTGATTGCATAACCCTGTGAATATAGGAAAAGCCATTGATTTATACATTTTAAATGGGTGAACTTCATAGTATGTAAATTATACCTCGATAAAGCTGTTAATTTTTTTAAATGCTATGTTCTGTTTAGTAATACAGACTTTTTCTGAGATACAAAGACACCATAGATATCTTAATTTATCCCTGGAATTTCAGCAGTAAATTTTTATGTACAGTAAATATCATCAAAGGCAACTCCAAACCAATGATTAGTTCTAGAAAGAGGTCCTTTGTATGTTCATCTGCTGTAGGTAGTGGAGTTAATTTTTTAATCTCGGATTGATTTTTTGGCATTCAGCATACTTTAATTTGCTATTGGTTGCTTCCCGAAGTGACCACCCATTTAGTGTCTCCAACCCCTATTAAAAAAAAGAAAAAACATCTCACAATTATTTCTTTAGTATGTTCATTTTATACACTGGGATAAAAGTAGATTAAAGATCTGTCCTAGAGATTAGAGCTATTTATACCACAACTCATGACTTCTTAGAGTCAGAAGTCTAATCAGTAAGCTAGCTATGTGAACTGAAATGTAAATATTTTTATTTTTGTACTTTTTATGGTGGAACTTACCCAGAATTGTCTGAGAGATTTTTTTATTTGTGGTATACTGAGAAAGAGCTATGTAGGACTAAAAATGAAAGATCTTTTATGGCAACTTAAAAAAAAAACTTATTATCACCACCTGCAGTACTTACAAGTTCTTCTCCAGAAAAATATTTTGAATCACAATCAGTTTTCAATCTTGGGACAACTTCTTGTTATCAATATGTCATGTACTAAAACAACTTATGTGCCAATTATCTCCCATTCTACTCTAAGAGATGCAAACTAGTTCAAATTTAACTTGAACAGAACATAATTTAGAATCTGCCATTAAAACATATATTATGTATTTTGAAGAAAAACAAATCACTTGTATGCTTTGGGGGATTATTGGTACATTTGCTTATCGGTATATTTTAAAAGATTACCCTTATTCCCACACCCAAGTCTCCGTTCCACTCCTTTTCATTCAATCCCATAGGTTTTTCTCTTTCCAAGAATCCACGAATCTTTACAGAAATGTCTTGTTCCCCTTTAAATAAACATTAGGACTAGGAGAAAGGCAGTGAAGCTAAGTGACCCTGAATTCTATGCCAGCCACAAGCATTAAACATGCATAAACTTTATGATGTGCCAAAACTTACTAGGAAGGAGAGAAAAAGGACAACGTTTTGAGTATTTTTAAAATTATTCTGTTTAAGAATACTATCTTCATAGTGGGAGAGGGTACAGCGCAGTGGTAGAGTGTGTATCTAGCATGCATGAGGTCCTGGATTCAATCCCCAGTACTGCCATTAAAGAAAAAACAAACAACTGATTACCTCCCCCAGCATTCTTTTTTTTTATGTAAGCCAATATATTATTCAGAACACAGCACTTACGTACTATGAGAGGAAAGTTCTTTATCACACTTTCAGAAATTGTTGCTACAAGTCTACAGTTCCCCACCTGAAGTTTTTTGATCTGATGTTTCAGAATTCAGAACTTTTATCAGAAAGGTGTGTCTGCCATATATTAAGCAACACATCCAGCAAGGGCTGGTGCTGCACTATAATTAGACACATTAATGTTTCTGTAAAGAACTTATGAATATTCACACCAAGTGTAGCTTCAGTTACAACTCAGGTCAGATTTTACTACTGAGGGAGTAAGGAAAGACAGAAAAAGGGCTGGGACCTGTAATGACATATTAATTTAAAATCCTATTATTTATACCTGTCAACCAGTTCAGGACCAGTAAACTATAGGTCTTTTCTTCCACAAATACGAAAGTGTGTGTTTAAAATGGAAAATGAAGCAGTATATTTTATTTCAGGACGTACATGTAAAATAGATTTGCCTGTGAAATTAAGTTAACTACATCATGATCTTCCTCTAGAAAGTTTCCTCTGGTTAAAAACTCCATTTCTTGGTGCGACAGTAAAAGATAGTAGAAGTACATCAGATCAACCTCAAGTGGGCAGTGTGAGCATCTCTGGGGCTTCAAGGACCTTGGGCAGTGGGAAAACTTGTAGGACAGGGTGGCCCTGGATGGCGCAGATGGCTGCAGCACATCCACGCTGGACAAACTTCAGCTTAAGTGCATGAAGGAAAAAGAAAGGTCCGGTAGGGATTTATGTGGTTACTGTTCTCTTGCTAGGACACGGGGTGAACAATAATATTCCTTTTAAGGTACAAATTCTTGCTTGGGGGCTACAAAAAGCGTCACACTAGGGAGTGGGAAGAGCGATCTGTAAGCCAGAGTTGGTGTTAGTAGAGGAAAGGAAACAGGGCGTCGAGTGTTGCAAAAGTTGGGTGAAAATGGGCCATCTGTTCCAGAGGCTGAGGTACCTGCGTGAGCGGAGCGCCGCCGACCCATAGCCCCCGCCATGCCCCGGGCAAGACGCTGTGCTCCACCTGTGGCAAGCAGTTAACTGCTGCCTGACAGGGTTTGGACTCTTCGTCTTGTCGGTGGAGGTTTTCCCGGGCCTGCAGCGTAGAAACCATGTCCCCCCCGCCTCCCCCGGGTCGCGGACGTCCGCGGGTAGGGGGACCGGCGTCCACCAGAGCGCAGGCCCGGCCCGCCCCCAGCTTTAAGTACGGGGCGGGACCAGCCAATCCTCGTTCCTCAGTGACCGCGGGGTGGGACCCTCGCGGTTTTCCGTCCAATCCCGCTCCTGGGCGGCCGCAAGGAAGCGGGTCGGCACAGCTGTGGGTGGTGGAGTAGGTGAAGAGCGAGGAATGAGGGTCAGCCAGCCGGCGAGTCAGCGCTCCTCCCTCCCCTAATCCTTAGTGGGTGGAGAAAAGTTAAGTCAGTAGAACGGAGTTGAATAAAGTAAAGCGGCGGAGGCTGTCGTGTCAAGTCAGGCATCTTGCCTGCTCAGGTCAGAAAGCTACCCTTGAGGTTGGGCCGCTACGCTGGTCCTTCGTCGTGCTTGGTCGGATTTCTTGGCGGCTTCTTGAGTGTTTTGAGCTGCCCTTGTCTTAGTGGGAGGAGTCTCCGAGCTCTCGTCGCGCTCCGCTCCTGTTTCTAGAGCCAAACTTCGAACTTTCGCTGCCGACGGGGCGCTGGCGCCAGATACTCGGGCACCGGGAGGTATAGTGTTTCCCGTGGACCTGTCTGCTGGAAGGAGGTGCAGTTGTCCTAGTAGTTAACCTAACTAATCCTGTGGTAATTCTCATCCATCTCTTTGGCAGATGGACTTTTTGCTTGTGTTTGCTGTGATTCCCAAAGTTTGAGTCTTGGGGCCTCCCAACCCCTAGGTTGTCTGTCTTCCTCGGTCGTTTACCCTTTTACCAGTGTTTGTTAATTTTACCCCCTGCAATCATTGAGCTGGTTTTTTTCTCCCCACAGTCACCAGCATAATTCAAACCCCTGTGATCTCAAAACAGAATTTTTGCAACAAGCTCCTGGTAGTCCTAAACAATTCATCCTGGTGTTCTGGTATGTGATAATCAATTTATTTTACTTGTTTTTCCTGATTCTGTTTTCCAGTTTGAGGTTGTATCTTACGGCTTCCAGGAAGCTCACGGTAATTAAATCCAGCGTCATCATTTTCTTAACGCATTTATAGGTTCTTTTGGAATTCTATTATTTAACCTTTGTGGTTGAGAATTCAAAACAACTAATACTCCTTGAAAGAATCTGATAATTCATATTTTTAATGTGTAGATTTTGGTGAGTTAAGAATGTAGTGGGTATGAAATTGTAGTCTTGAATTCAGTGCCCTAGAGTCTATTAAGTGGCAGGGATGTATACAGAGAATAGCTTATCTTTTCTGTGTGTGTGTATTAGTTTCCTGTTCCTGCTGTACCAATTTATCACAAGCCTAACAGTTAAAAAAAACCCACAAATTTATTAACTAGCAACTCTATAGATGGGAAGTCTGGGTAGGTTTAGCTGGATACTCTGCTTAGGATCTCACAGAGCTAAAAAGTTTGTTGGTTTGGGCTTTCTGGCAGCCCTAGGGGAGAATCTACCTCCAGACTCACTGAGGTTGTTGGCAGAATTCATTTCCATGCAGTTGTAGGGCTGAGGACCCCATTTCCTTACTGGCTGTTAGCTAGGTCCTCTCTCGTTTCTGCAAGACAAGCTGCATTTTCAAAGCCAGACAGCACCTCCAGTTCTTTTCAGACTTGTAATCTCCCTGACTTCTCTTCTGCCACCACCTGGAGGAAGCTTTCTGCTTCTGAGGGCATAAGTGATTAGATTAAGTCCACCTGGATAATCTCCCTAATTCAAAGTTGAAGGCCAGTTGTGTAATAGCACCGTCACAATCAAGGAAGTGATAGTCACCTCATGTTGATAGGTTCTGGGGATTAGAAGGAGTGGAGTCTTGGAGGCCATTCATAGGAGTTACGCCGAGTGTGATGTGGTTGTCTCAACCAGATTATTTTTGTAATGTGACTTTGCAGGTATTAAAAAAATCCTAACAACTCTAATTACGTAATTATTCTCTTTACAGATATGAAAGTTCAGTGAAAGTTACTTGCTCAGAGACACATGGCTAGAAAGTGGCAGGGTTGGTATTTGGACCCAAATTTACATTTCTGTTAGATGTAAAGCCCCGTTACAGAATGTCAAAGTGAAGTTCAGACAGTCATGTGGTAGGAAGAAGCTGAGGAATTAGGAGATCTTTGTTGTACCTCATTTTTGAATTCTCTCTTTACATTAGTGGTGAAGGCTAAGCTCTTCTCCCTAACAGAGAAAGCCCAAACTAAAGTTTAAATAAAAGGTTTTTGTGTTATTTTGTTTTTCCCCCCATCTAGAGGAAGAAGTCTAGGGCCAGTAGGAAGATTCTGACAACCTGAATGTATGGCCTTCATAAATGGGTCTCAAGTGCTGTTCCAGTTGGCACTTTGCCTGCTAGGTAGGCAGTGAGAAGGAGGGAAAGCCAGGGAGAGTGAACACGTGTAGTTCTTTACCAGGATCTGATCTGGAGGCAACATAGACATGACAAAGCCATTCTGAGCACCAAGGGAGGGTAGAAAAGATGCAGCTGTGTGGCTGTATGCCCAGCTGAAACTCAGGATTCTGCTAAGAAAGAGGTGGAGAATGTTTATTGGCTGAAAAACGGTCTCTGCCGCACCATTGTTTTTGGTAATGTTTTATTCTGTAACTTTCTATGACTGTTTTATTTGGCTTTGATATTAGTCTTAACAAGGAATATTTGAAAAGACAGGCAATTCCTATTTAATATTAATGTTCCTTGATTTCTCAATTGCTATTTTAATATATACTTTATAAAGGCTTCTGTGAGGAATCTCTTTTTTCATTCACATTTTGTGTTACTTTGATTTCTCTAATGAAAATTAATACATTTGTGGAGAATGTCCCAGGTTGCTTCGGGATACATGAAATCATTCTGTGTAGGCGTCACACAATTAGGTTCCAGTTGTGTGGAACCTGTCATATGATTTGTGTATTTTGTAATATTTTATAACTCTATAATTGGATGACTCTTCCTTACCCCTTCATACTTTGCTGTTCAGAGTTCTTCCTCTCAGCCCGTTACCTTTTCTACATATATGAATTCTGCCTACTGCAGGGCCCCTCACCCACTGTCAGGTAGCCTTTGTATGGGGGAAGACTGTGGTCAGACAGATCTGGGTTTGAGTTGTTAGTTTGACCTTAGGCAAGTTACTAAATATCTGAGTTTTGACTTATCTGAAATGGCAGTGAATTCCCTTTTAGAGCTGTTATGAAGATGAGGGAGATAGCATATTTTCTGTAACACTTGCTTGAAGTACTTGGCAATTAGTAGGTGTTCAGTAAATGGTAATTTTATTGGTCCCACTGATCACTCCTTGACCTCTTGACACTTTGATTCTACACTTTTTTTTAAATTGGTTTTCTCTCTGACAAGTTTATAAATTCCTTAGGGGTTAGGCCCAAGTCCTGGATATACTGTAGTCCCTAAATGTTGATGTCATGAATTAGAACTAGCCTCTAAAAGAATATTTGAGATGGAAGTTATGGGTTTTTTTCCTTTAGTGTTCCTACTGTGATTGCATCATGGAGAATCAGTTGACTAAATCAACTGAAGAACGGACGTTTCAGTACCAGGATTCTCTTCCATCACTGCCTGTTCCTTCACTTGAAGAATCATTAAAAAAATACCTTGAATCAGGTATGTTTATAATCTTTTAGTGTATATTAATGTTGTTAGCAACTTAGCAAACTATAAAATTGTTAGAAGTTGATGAGTGTCTAATTGCTTTTTCCTCTAGGCTCGTGATAATTAAAAGTGTCCTTAAAATGCCCAAAACACTGCTGTTTCTCTCATGTTAATTTTTCCATAGTTTGAATAGGCGGTACTATTGTGCTTACAATAAAAAGTAGTAGTCTTCTGCCTCGTTCCCCACCTACTGCAAACCCCACTCCCTTAGGGAAGCATTTTCAAATATTTTATCTGCTTCTTGTGTTTACCTCCGGATTTAAACTAACATTCTTATACTACTACTTCTTGGATTATTTTAGTTGTAGATATTGTAAATTCGTTCCTAAAAAGCTGTGGGTTTAGTTCTCCTGCAAGCCCTAAACTCCATCTTCCCTTCCCAACATTTATGCAGTCCAACATATCCACATTTTCCCTCTCATTTTCTCAATGCAGCTGTACAAAAATCACCATTTGGGATTAAATTAGTATTCACCTGATTTAAATCAGAATTTACGCAAATTAATTGCCCTGACCATTGAGGGTATATGGTTATGCAATTATTCTCAAGAGAACCAATTGGTGTATAGCACTTTTATTTCCCTTTTGCTGCATTTTTTGTTTGTTTTTCATTTTTCGTTTGTTTAGTTGGCTTTGTATCCATAACTAACTCATTCCCAAATACACTGAAAATCCCTGAGTACATATTAACACCTAAGAGATACTCTCAGTTTCATTTCTTCTTGGAGACATCCCTGCTGGGGCTCTCACCCCTCTACAGTTAGCGTTCTGTTCTCTGACTGGACTGCCGTTACCCTGGGCTTTCCTGCGGCCATCATCCTGCCAGTTCTCGTCACCTCTCTCTCGTGTTGGATTCCCTGGCTCCTGGGTTCTGGCTTCCTCTTTCTGTTCCCTTACTTTGGTTTAATACATCTCCAGTAGCTACTTGAGAAAGGGTGTCTGGGAGGAAAAGAAACTCCTTAATGTATTTATGCCACCCTCATACTTGATTGTTTGGCTGAGTATAGAATTAGGGTTGGAAATGATTTTTCTTTTAAGTTTTGAAGGCACTGTTTGTTCCTCTTGAAGTCTGATGCCATACTGGTATTTGATGTAAATGTGTTTGGAAGCCTTGTCTTTATCTCTATTTTTCTGAATATCTCAGTAATATCTCTTTGTGTGTAGGTTTTTCATTTATTCCTCTGAACACTCAGTAGGTTCTTTTAGTTTAAAAAGTCATGTTCTTTATTTTAAAATATCATTGTTTTGATAGTGTTCCCCTCCCTTTGCTCTTTCTCTCTCTGAAACTCCTCTTTTTTTTGGGGGGGGGGTCGGGGGTTAGTAATTAGGTCTATTTATTTATTCTTAGAGGAGGTGCTGGGGATTAAACCCAGGACCTTGTGTGTGACAAGCATGTGCTCTAGCACTTGAGCAATACCCTCCCCTCCTCTTTCTAGAACTCTTACTACTTGGATCTGCATCCTTCTGAGTGAAACTTTTAATTAAAAAATTGTTTTCCTTTCATTGTTAGTGACTGTTAGTGCCTGTCCCTTTTTGGTCTGTTTACTGTTTGATGTATCAATCTTTTGTTCTGTTCTCTGACTCACATGAGAGACTTTCCTCAACTATCTGGCAAGACATAGTCATTCATGTTTAAGAATCACACTTAAAGGCTGACTGGAGCTCTGTGTGCATGGGTGGGGCTTGGCAACTAGGAGATCTTAGAGTGAGCCTTGTAGGGTGAGAGGGCAGAGATCCAGCAGTTCCATTAGGACATACCCAAGTACCAATACTTCTTTCTTTTGGACTGATGATTTCCCCAAAGAAGAATTCTCTTTTGTTTAGAACCTGACTGCTAGTATTCGGGGAGCTGAGTAGGGGGAGTGGGCAGGAGGGCTCATTTTTCTGGTGTACGCTTTCATTGTAATCCCTCTTTTTAAAATTTGAGCTAAAATTCATGTATTCTGCTTGTTTGGTTCAACTTCTCCTGAGGGTAAACCTTCAGATTTCTACTGCCATTGGGAGGAAGTTGCCTGGCTTTCTAGAAAGGAGGAGGTGGTCTACAGGGATGAGTATGGATGGGGTACTTGTTGGCTGCTTTTAAAGACTTTGAAGCAGTCCTGCTGTTTTTCAGCCTCCCTTTGTCCCCTGCCTTTAGAAGTCCATGTGTCTTGAATTCTTGAACCTTTCTGAGATTCTGCTGAAGGAATTGGCTTGCTTTTTGGTTTGTACCTAACCTACGCTATCTCCCACTACCTTCCACTGTCTAGGCTGTAGATGATAACTTTCTCCGTGCTGTGCAGTCACTGTTTTCCCAAGTATTTTCTAATTTGTAATATTGTTGGCTTATCTTGTCTGCTGCCTCTCTTCTTTTATTTTCTTTGTCCTTATGAATCTATGCCTTTTTGATTACTGAACTCTCATTTTTGTGAATTTCTATGAGTGAAGATAAATTTATGTACTTAGTTCACTTTGTTTAACTGGAAACTCAGTTTTTTTTTCTCTCCTTTTGTCTCATCTACTGTCATCTGGGAATTCTAGTTTCTTTTTTGAAAAATTCACTTATTATTCACTTGACTTGTGCTCTCTGAATACAGCTATTTAACTTTAAGACTTTGAAGAGGCAAAATAAAACAAATGGAAGATATTAACATACCTTGATTTCTAACTTATAGCTCAATTTTCTGAACACTTGGTTTTCCTGGACTAGGAACTGTGCATTCTGTGTGTGTGTGTGTGTGTGTGTAAACCATTATTGGCCACAAGGGACCCTAAACTTCTCTGGGAAGTCTTTACACTTAAATTTACATACACATTGCATTTACATTCACAGTGTTAAAGGGTTTGCTTGAACATTAGTGGAAGGAAGCTTTAATTTCTCTTGGTCATGGCTAAACAGGATTTATTTTCCTATTGGACTAGTAGCTAGATGACAGTCCTGTCTCTGTCACTGTAACTATCACCATCTAGAATGATTTTAAAACAGTTTTCTTGAAAATAGTTATCAGATTACATAGTATACACTTTTAATTTTTTACAGTATTTTGCATTATTGTTTTTCAGCCGTTTTCATGTCATAATCTCCTTTATAATTTATTGGACTGCTGTAATAGTGCATATATAATTGTTTTATATAACTGAGTCTCCAGGTTTGTGTAAGTAATAATAATCAAAGTGAGTTTGTGGTACTTGATGTCTAAATACTTTAATGCATATTTTTTCTTTGTAGTAAAGCCGTTCGCAAATGAAGAAGAATATAAGAAAACTGAAGCAATTGTCCAAAAATTTCAAAATGGTATTGGAAAAACATTGCAGCAGAAATTACTTGAACGGGCGAAGGAAAAAAGAAATTGGGTATTTATGTTATTGTACATATACTTAGGATATTGATACCTAAAGAATGGAAGGTAACAATGTACCTAGCTCTCATTTTAAAATTATTGCTGTAAAATCCTTGTAATTATTGTCATTATCGTCCCCCAAAAGATTGAATGAATTACTTAACTCTGGGGAGTTCTGAGGGTTGTGTATGGGCTCCTCTCTTACTATACAGGAAACTTGTTAAAATGCAGAGTTCCTGAGACCAGTTATTCTGATTGAGTAGGTCTGAGGGGCCCAGAAATCCTTATTTGAACAACTACTCCTTGTGGTTCTGTTGCAGGTGATCTGTAGACTAGGCTTGAGAAAAGCATTTTGTCCAGATAACTGATGAGTTTTCATAATTTAAAATACTACCTTAGTCTAGTGATAATGATTGTAACTATCATTTAGGTTTAGAAATAAAAAGCAAGCTGATATTTTCATTGGCCTTTGATACCTCTGATGGAATAATAAAGTTGTATACTTCAAGATTCTTTTATTCTCAATCTTGAGCTTTGAGTGCTTACTAATTATATTAGGGTAAAGGTAAAGAAGTTGTTGTTCTGACTATATCCTTTTCACTTTAATCTTTTTCTGAATTACTAATTATAGTTTATAACATCACATTCTTCAAAAGGAATTCCAAGTAATTTGATGAAATACACTTTCTTATAGATCAAAGCCAGTTGCCTGTTGTGAAAGAGAGACTCATAGAAAGCAGTGTCTGTGGAAAAAAATCTAAATTAGTCTTAAGCTGAGTGAAATTTTAATATTTCTGATTTGGTATTTCAGTTTTTGCTTGGAAAAGGAAAATTATAAGTGCCTTAATTGTTAAATTAAGTGAAGATTTGTTAAGTATCTTTTGTACTCCAGGTACCCTGAAAAAACACACCTAGAGTACTTTGGGGTATTTGTGATTTAAATATGATCTGTTTGAAGGTGTCTTTAGTACCATCTTGTTTCATGTTTTTGATAATGTAGTTAAACTGAATAGTACTTAAGATCCTATAATTTCAAAAGGAAGAAATGATCACAATAGCACTTTTCAGTATCTATGATAATTTAAAACAAAACATGTATTTAAGTGTTGAAGAGTAACTAAAGAAAAAAGAATAAACACAGCTCCCTGCCCCAACAGTTAATAGTCAGGTATCATCAGTAGCATTAGGCTGACGTTCTTAATTTCTTTTAGCTGGAGGAGTGGTGGCTGAATGTTGCCTACCTGGATGTTCGCATACCATCTCAACTGAATGTCAACTTTGTGGGTCCTGCATCCCACATTGAACACTACTGGCCTCCAAAGGAAGGCACTCAGTTGGAAAGAGGAAGTATAAATCTTTGGCATAACTTGACCTACTGGCAGCTATTAAGAAAGTAAGGATAGTTGGGTGAATTTGGTTACAGATTTACCCAAGGTCTCAAGTGGCAAAATGTTGAGATGCTTTAATTTACTCATCTGGGGATGAATACTGTAGGTATGACTATTGGGTTTATAAGATTTATCATGATTTCTTGGTCAATACATTTTTTAAATTTGTCTTAACAGAGAAAAAGTGGCTGTTCATAAAGTTGGAAATACTCCTCTAGATATGAATCAATTTCGAATGCTGTTTTCCACTTGCAAGGTTCCAGGAATTACTAGAGATTCAATTGTGAGTTATTTTAGGACTGGTAAGTAGAAAACGTGTACTTTTTCTGGTAAAAGCATTGGGATTTGGGTTGTTTTGCTGCAGTTTCTTCTATGAGACTGTGCAACATACTGTTTTGAAGAATATTTCTTATGGATTTTGACTAAGCAAAGGCTTTCTATGAACCATATCTTTCAGTCATTCTGATTAGTTGGAAGTAATTTATGGGAATGGATTTTCTTAAACTGTGTCTTACATGGTTCTGTACAAACCTGATGCTCACGTTGCATGATTTGAGAGTTTGAATTGTAGTTAAAGAGCAGAGTTATGATTCAGAGTAGCAGGAAGTCTGGAGCATATGGTCTCTGGATCCTTCTCTTTCTACCCTCATTCCTTCTTATCTGGGTTATCTTTGTGTGTGCACTCACCAGATTGCATCTGCCCTTGTGAGTGCTTTCCTCCCTGAGTCCCGCTGCCTCACACAGGTGAGAGCCTGCTATCAGTCTTCTTGAGGGTACATGTGTTCAGATTGACTCATCCAAGTTTTCGTTTTTACCATCTGTTAAGGGTGCTTTCTGCGTGGTGTCCTAGCGTATCTTGAAATGGAAAATTCTGTTGCGCCAACAACTGGTTTCCAGTTACTTCAGGAATTTTTCTTGTTATAAATGTAATACCACAGTTTATATTACTGCAGAATGTAATTATGAATGGACATTATTCATAGATAAAATTTTGTTTTAAGGTAAAATTTCAATAACCATTTTTGCTTGTAGTGTGAGGGGTATGAGTTTGCTTTCATGTAGAACTCAGCTTCTCTTTCTAAACCTCTTGAGATGCTTGAGATACTTAATGTTCTTCAGTCCAGACACATTTACCTTGATGTTGAAAGAGGAAGAATTAAAAGAAAGAATAAAGGAGCCTGTTTATTTATGGCATAAATTTTAATGTTTAAATACGAATTGAAAAGGTAAATAGGAAAAAATTGCTAGGAGAATAGCAGTAGCAAAGAGAGACAGTATGCATATCAGTTAAGAACTAATATCAATAGACTTGGTTTTGAATTCAATCTTTAACACTTAGTAGGTATGTCTGCAGACAAGGTAACTCCTTTAAGTTACAGTGCATAAAATGAGGTTCATTAATTTAATAATGTACTTCTTGACAGGATAGTTTAAGCTGTCATGGTTAGTATATTCTTGAACTTATGGCTATGTGGAAAGGTACAAATAAGGATAAAGCTGAGGTAATCAGTTAACATGAAAAAACAGCAGTTTGCGACAAATACTATATAGGGAATTGAAATCACATGAGTAACTGGGTGGCCATTTCAGATTAGGTAGTCAGGGAAGACTTCTCTGAGGATCTGAATGGTAAGATGATCTAGCACAGTCTGCTTTTCATTTCTGTTTTAGTTTGTTATTGGCTGTGGTAGTGGTGGGGTGTGTGTGTGTGTGTGTTGAGGGGGGAATCTTCTGGGCATGAATAAACTTGGCATGTTTGCAGGGCAGTGTGAATGGAGCAGAGTTGGCAGGAAGGAGAGGGGCAGATTGAAAAGGTGACTAGAGTCTAGATCATAATGTACTTTGTAAGCCAACTAAGTTTTTTGGCTTTTCTTTAAAATGCGAATAAATGCTATTAGTGGGTTTTGAGAAAGAGAGTGATGTGAACAGATTTATTTTTTAAAGGATCATTCTACCTGCTGTTTGAAGAATAGATTTTTAGGAGAGAGACGTGTAGAAGCAGGGAGATGAGTTAGAAAGTTGTTTTAGTAGTCCCAGTGAGCCACAATAGTCTTGTGCTATGGTGATAGCATTGAGGTGATGACTAGTTAGTAGATTCTGGATATATCATGGATTTGGGGCTAGCAGAATTGCTCATAGATTGGTTGTGAAATGTAAGAAAAAAAGAGGAATTAGATGACTTCAAGTTATTTGGCTTGAGTAAGTAACAGAGTAGATAGGTGTGTTGGTTCTGAGGTGGGAAAAATTGGGGAGAGGTATTTAGGGAGGAAGATAAAGAGTTCCCTTAGACAACGTTGAATTTAAGATGCCTTTTAGACATCTAAATGGAAATGTAAATAGGCAGTTGGGTACAAAGTTTGGGGTTCTGGGAAGAATTCAGTACTGCAGATACAAATTTAGGAGTCATCCTTAGCAGGCATACTAATCATTTCTACCCTCATAAAAATAGCAAAGATTACTTTTGGAACACATTTAGCTGAAGATGTTTGGAACCGATACTGATCGTTATCACAACTGAATACAGTATTCAGTGGTCAGAGGAGGAGGAGCCAGCAAAAGGGACCAAAGTAGGAAGAAAACAAAGATGATGGTCTTCCAGAAGTCAGGAGAAAGAAGTGTTTTATCTAATGCTCCCAAGAGATCAAATGATATAAAAATGAAGAGTGACCATTAGATTTGTCAATGTGATATGGTCAGAGGGTGCCCCTGACAATAGCAGTGTTAGTGGAAGTTGGAAAAAGGAGCTCAACTGGAGGAGATGAAAGGCAGCCAAAGGAATGTAGCAACATTTGGAAATAAATCTTGCAAACAAAGTTTTGTTGGGTAGTGGGAGATTTGTATGTGTGTGTATATTTTTTAAGAGAGAGGGGTGATCTATCAAGAATGGCATGGAGAGAAAGAAAAATAACCTTGCAAAGGAAAGGATAAAGAACAAAGCCATTGAGAAGATAAGAGCTGAGAGGGTCAAGAGCAGAAATGGTGGAGGGGTTTGACAGGAGCAGGCATGAGAGGAGTGTAAAAAGCATATCTAGATGCAGACGAATTGGCTGACTTGTAGGAAGATGAGGCGGTCTTATGTACTGCTTGTGTTTTCCTTGATGAAATAAGAACTGAGGTGGGAGTGGGGTGGAGGATTTGAGGAGAAAGGAGGTTTGAAATGGTCTTTTTGGAAAGTGGGAAAAGCAAATGTGCTATGGAAACATAGGCTAGTGAACAGTGCTGACATGTGTGTTTATGAATTTACAGTTAGACTCCCTGGTGTGTTTCACCCTCCTCCACCCCAGCCCAGCAACAGGGGCAGGTGCAGAGAAAGAGGGAGTGAAGGACTGAAGGGGTTTTGCAAGGAAGAAATCATGATGTTCTCCATGGCATCTATCCTGGATAAGGAGAGAATTAAAGAAATTAAGTGTGGTGAGGGGGAGGGCAGCAGGCTACTTAACCCCAAGAGACCATTAGGACTGATTCAGTTTTGCCTTTTATCCTGTTTACCTCATTTTGCCCATGAAGTTCAGACCTCAAATGTCGTCTCTTGTCACCTGCACTCACGGACTTGTGCATGGCATAATTTGACCCCACGTCCCCACTACTATGATGCACCCTCCACTCCCCCAACCCTTCTCCTGTACTTGATGGACCTTATGGTCAGCAAAATCCATCATATCCTCAACCTTCCTCTGAAAGCTCCCATTCCCTTGGGAAAGGCACTGTTAGTAAAATCAATTTTTTGGTTTTTTTGTACTACTTTTCCTATAACCATCTCACATGGTGATTTTTTTTTTCTTTTACCTATTGGTACTAGAGGGCAAGTAGGAGATGTTGGTGTCTTCTTTATTTTCCAATGCCCTTTCCATTTTATATTTCCTTACAATTTGAGCTCCTGGGAAAAAAATGCTGTCAGGTTATATCACCATTGCTTGTCATTGTTACAGTGACTTCCCCCTTGATCATTCTCCTTCACTCATTGATTGCTTTAGCACCTCTCCCTGTCCTTCCGTTACTATCTTGGTCATGTTCTTAAAGACTTCAGCCTCCATTTGTTAATGACCCGTGGCTTCTCCTCTCCTTCACTTTCTTCCTCTAGGGATCTGTACCTCCACTCCTTCTCAAGCAGCCCCATTCTCATGATCATGCCCTGGACCTTGGCATTGTCAAAGGATGTAATTTGATGCAGCCACTGTGGAAAACAGTATGGAGATTCCTTAAAATAAAAAGAGAGTTAGGATGTAATCCATCAATCCCACTCCTGGGCATGTATCATGATGAGCTGTTCTGACTCATAAGGACAGCTATTCTGTATGGTGCCCTGGGTTAAATAAACCTCCTCTTGCTTAATCAAGGGCTTGGCTTCTGTATCCTTTCTCTCTGTACTGCATAAACAATTTCCTGTCTTTACTGGTTTGTACCAATTTGTAATGTCTCCTATCTTAAAAAGAAAAAAATCAACCTGTTGTTTCCTTCCAGTGAGACACCCCAGTCAAGGCCACAGTCACCTCTCACTCACTTAGGTCCTTCTCACCTTGATCACTTCAGTTACCTCCTCACTGATACTTGCTGTATTTTTTCTTCCCTTTTAGAATCCCTTCTCCCTATGGCAGCTGGAGTGCCCTTTGTAGTATTAATTAGATGACAGTATTACTCTCTGGTCTAAAGCCCTCCACTGGCTTCTTTCCTATGATACTTAAAATTGAAAGCCTTTCCGGAGGCCCTAGTATGATCTGGTTCCAATTGTGTCTACCCTTCTCCCCATTTCTCTCTCTACAGCTGCACTGCCCTTGTGTTGCTGTAGGTAGACCAGCTCATTTTTGTCCTAGTGCCTTAGTACTTGCTGTTTCCTCTGCCTGGAACCCTCTTCCTGTAGGTATTTCCATGTTGCTCTGTTCCTTCACTTAGGCCTCTACTCAGCTATCCCCTCTTGTGCTCCTCCTGGTGTAGCACCTTCTGTCATTCTCTTCCCAAACATTGATTGATTAACTTGGGCTCAGGTATATTTTCTTGTTGCTTTCCCAGCCCTAAATTTTAGATAGTAGATGACAGCAGTGAAGGATAGTGGTGGTAAATGTATGACAATATGGAGGTTTGTGAAGGGGAAAGAAGAATAAATAGCTTGGAAGCAAACACGAGGGATGAAGAAAATGCATACCTCGCCTCCAAGGACCTGAGGAAATAGGGTATAAGAGAAAAAGTAATAGTGCTACCAGGAAATGGTTCTTCCTCATAGCTGACGAATAGATTTCATGAGATAATGTGTGTAAAGCATTTAGCACAGTTCCTTGTACATAACATCAACCAGTAAATTTACTTCCAGTGGCAGTATGTGTCCTTCCCAACTTTCTTCCTCTTTTTCTTCTGTTCTTTTTCTTCTTCCCCTTTTTGAGGGGGAAGGAGCGGAGATCATATAGGAAGACCCTTGTCAAAGGGACTAGTTGAAAAATGGGACTAATCAGAATAGTCTGAGATTTACAGCAAGCAAGTAGTTCTTGGGGAATTAAGATGTGTGAAGGAACCATAGAATCAATTGTCAGTGACTCACAGGGTGTTATCAGAGCCTCACGTAGCACTATAGGTGGGGCAAATTCTCTCTCCTTGCCACTCAGGCATACAGTGCCCTTATTCTACTGAAAACTGTTTTACTGAGAAATCATAGCTAGATATTATTGCATTTACCTAGTCTGATAATTAATCAATATTAAATCATCCCCCAAAGAAACTTGATTCAAATACCTCTTCTCCAGGACTTTTCTGCTGCCTTTTCCCCTTCCCACCCTATCTGTAAATAAAACTAAAAAGCTCTGCAGTAGTTTAGGATTTATATGACTCTCAAGGTATACAGCTGTTTGAAACTTTCATGAATTTCTAGATGTCACATGGACAGATTTCAAGAACATGTATTTATAACATAGTAACTGAAATTTTGTCATCTTTTAAAGTTTTTATCCACGTGATGTATTTGATGATATATGATAAATAAAATATTGGAGAAATGATTATTTTACTGGGTGTAAATATGCAGCTTTACTCTTGTTTAACTTTGAGAAACCTGCGTGTTGTGTTTTCTGTTTCTTTTTCCAGAGAGTGAAGGGCGCTGCCCAAGTCACATTGCAGTGCTGTGTCGAGGCCGAGTTTTTGTCTTCGATGCAATACTTGAAGGAAGTTTGATTACCCCACCAGAGATTCTCAGGTTTTCAAACTACTTAAGTCTCAATAGGTCTTACGCTTTTGCTTGAGTTAAAAAATAAATGTTGAGAACTGCCTTTTTAAAAGGTGACAGTAGCTAACAAAATTAAAATTTTATATATGCTAATTTTTAATCTATTTTTGTTTTATTTTTAATTTACGTTAACTTTTAATTTTACTAGAGGTACATGAATATATTCTGCTCAGAGAAAAGTTAAACATGACAAATCTTAGCAGTCTCATTCCCTGACCCCAAATTAATCACTGTTGCTAATTTGGTGTATTCAGTCCTTCTAGATCTGTTGCAGAGAATTTATATTTACATAGAGGTTTTTTTAGAAAAGAACATACATATATATGTTTTTATCTGTATGGTACATATTACATGCATACAAATAGTATGTATAAATAATAGTGTATAGAGAGAGAGTTATTATTTTGTATGTTTATATTTTTAAAGTTAGTGTGATGGAAGATGTCAAGATGTAGAGGGAATTACATAATGAAACTTTCTCATGTCCTCATCCTCTAATTTCAGCAGTTACTAACTCTTAGGTTCACAATTGTAAATTCACAGTCTTGTTTCAGCTATACCTCTTTGTGCCTCTCCCCCACACCCCCATGGATTATTTTAAAGAAAATCTCAGGCGTAATATCCTTTCACTATAAATATTTTAGTGTAGATCTCTAAAATATAAGGACCCTTAAAAATATTAATGGATAGTACCCTTATCACACCTAATGACCTGCTTCTCCTAAAAAATTAACAAGAATCCTTTAATACACTAATAGACAAGCAATTGTTCAGATTTTCTAGGTTGCTCATAAATGTTGAATTGTATCTATATATGTTTCAAGTTATTTTTATTAAATATTACAAACATGAACAAAAGTGCATACGGAAGTACATAGCTAAATACTCAACTCAATCACCAGCCAGGTCGGGTAGAAAATATTTCTCTTACTGCAGAAATCCCCCTCATATCACTTCCCAGTTAATGGGCTTTCCCTCCTTCTCAAGGGTAATCACTTAGGCTGCTTATGATATTTTTTAAGTACAGAAAATGCTGCTGTGAAAATTCTTGCGCAAGTCCTTGATGCACACATGTGTGCATCTGTGTCTGATTGCACTCAGGAGAGGACTGGGGGAGTCATGGGGTGTGAGTACGTTCGGCTCCAGTGGTCATGCCAGCTTTCCAAAGTAGTTGTGCTAGTCAGCCCTTCCACTAGTGTAGGAGTGTTGTAGGGGTTACCTACACACTCTGTGTATGAGCTTTATATTGATTTCATGTCTGCCCTTTCATTCTATCAAAGGTGTCTTTTTGATCAAGTAAAGTTCTTCATTTGAATCTAGTCCAGTTCGTCAGTCTTCTACCACGCGGATTATACCCTTTGCATCCTATTTAAAATTTTTTTTCCTAACCCAGTTTCAGGAAGATTCTTTCTTTTATTGTGTTCTAGACTTTTATTCTTTTGTCTTCCACAGTTATATTAGCCTAGAATTGATTTTTGTGTGTGGCATTAGGAAGGGTAGCTTTACACACTTAAAAAAAGAGTGTTATTTTCGGTTTTTCTGCAGTTTGCTTCTTTGAGTCAATAAGGCAGTAATGTTTTCATACTGGGATAGACGGATCTACCTTACTCCTTTTAGCTGTTGTATAGAATGGCATCAAATGGACATACTATAGTTTGACTGCTTCTCCATTGTGACACATTGAGGTCATTTCCATTTGTTGCTGCAGCAAACATTTTCAAGTGTGAACATTTTCAAGTATGCCTCTTTGTGTGTTTGTGAGAAAATGTCTATGGCTTGATATTAGAAACAAAATTTCTGCATATATATATTTAAATTTTTGAACGATGTCAAATGGTCATTGAGAGCAGCATTATGTTCCCCACCAGCTTTTTATGAGATTACCCCCTTCTCTGCATCATTGCAGACATGGCATGATTAAACTTAAAACCTGGTGAACTGATAGGTGAAAAGTGGTTTTCATTGTTGTTAGGATTGGCACATCCCTTGTTACTAGTAAAGTTGAATATTTTTATATATGTTTATAGGCTGTTTATGTTTTCGTTTCTGTGGGTTGCTTTTGCCTATTTTTCTACTGGCTGATTTTTTTTAAATTCTTATTTATTTGTAGCAGTTATTTGTATGTGTGGGCACTAATCCTCCATCAATTATATGTGATGCAAGCATTTTCTTCTAGTGAAATTTTTTCTGGTAGCTGAACAGACATTGTTAGTTTTGACGTAGGCAAATCTATCCATTTTTTAGGTATTCTGTTTTTGTGTCTTGGATGAAGTTTGTGTATGTTCCAGCTATGTTTTTTATTTTGTTCTCAAAAAATTCAAATTGGGTTATATCTCACCTTTGCTTAAATTTTTTTTTTTTTATTAATAGATGTACTGGGGATTGAACCCAGGACTTTGTGCATACTAGGCACGCACTCTACCACTGAGCTATACCCTTCTCCCTGCTTAAAAATGAAATGGTTCCTTGGGGTCTAGGGTGGAGTCCCAGTTACTTAGCCATGGTCTAAGTTTGACCTTTGCCTGTTTCTTCAGCCTTCTCCTGCTCTCCCTCCTTGTACATCCTACGTTCCTACCCCGTTTCTCTGCTTGCATTTCTGGCGCGTTAGGTTATCTGTGATCTTTGCACGTGCTCATGCTTTCTGTTTGCAGTGCCTTTTCCTGCTTTGTCCACCTTTTAAGTAAGAATTCTTCCTCGTGCTTTGTTTCTGTTCACATGTCACCACGAGGTCACTACTTACTGTTTTATTTTGTATTTCCTCGTTTCCCATTCCCTTTTCTCCCTTCGTGTCCCAAAGGGTTAGCCTTCTTTAGTCTCTTTATTCTCCTTATATTTATCTCTATTATATTGATAATTAAGTTCTGTTTAAGTCATTTATTTCTGTTTTCACATGCAGATGGGGCTCTGAGATTACTTACCAGGTTTCTTTCTTTTTTTTAGTTCCCCTTTCTTAATACAAAGCAAAAGTGTGTGTCGGGGTGTGTGTGTGTGTGTGAGAAAGAGAGAGGAGTGAGTGATTTGGACACTCCTGTGTATTAGAAAATTCCCTTTAGAAGTATAAGATACATACTAGACATGTGAGGTAGATTGGTCAGCTCCTGAATCTTAGTATACTATCAAAAGAAATGTATCAAAATTGCGGTAATCTAGGAAAGAAGTAAGAGGTTGGGACTTTAAAAGATGGGAGAAATGCAGAAAATGTTTTGGAGATAAAATTAAAATGAATTGGTGACTGGATTTAGAAAGAAGTGAAGCCTGAAATACGACTGAGTAGGCAGCTAATATTACAACAGGAGAAGGCAGCAGAAGAGGAGGAACCATTTCAGTTTTCTTTTCTTGCTTTTAATAATAGCTTTGAGACATAATTCACACACCATACCTTTCACCCATTTAAAGTGTACAATTCAGCATTTTTACAATACTCAGAATTGTGCAGTCACCTCCACCACGTTTAGAACACTTGTCACCCCCAAAAGTGACCCTGCACCCATGAGCAGTAACTCTTCGTTGCTCGCCAGCTCTTACCCATGCATTAGCACATACATCTCGTATCTCCCAAATCCTCCCACCCTGTGGGCCCTAGGCAGCCTTCCTCTCTCTTTCATTTGACTTTCTGTCTCTGTGGATTGTCCTAGTCTGGACATTTCATATAAATGGAATCTTAGAATATATGGCCTTTTGTGCCTGGGTTCTTTCACTTAGCAGAAAGTTTTTAACGTTCATCCATGTTGTAGCATATATTAGTACTTTCTTCCTTTGGCGGAATAATATTCATTCTATGGCTGTACCCGATTTTATTTAATCATTCATCAGTTAATGGATATTTGAGTTGTTTCCACTTTTTGGCTACAGTGAATAATGCTGCCATAAACATCTGTGCACAAGTTTTTGTGTGGACTCTGTTTTCATTTCTCTTGGCTATACACCTAGGAGTAGAATTGCCAGGCCGTAACTCAGTATTTAACCATTTGAGGAACTACCAGACTTTTCCAGCATGACTGCACCATTTTATATTCACATCAGCAGTATTTGAGGGTTCTAATGTATTTACATCCTCACCAACACTTGATATTGTTTGCCTTTTTGATGATAGCCATCTTAGAGGGTATGAAGTGGGATCTCACTGTGGTTTACAGTTGCATCCCTATGATGACAGCAGTATTGAACGTGTTTTCATGTGCCTGTGGCCATTTGTATATCTTCCTGGAGAAATGTCTGTTTAAATCCTTTGCCAATTTTTAACAGGGTTGTCTTTTTTATTATTGAGTTGTAAAACATGTTTAACAGATTCTAGATAGAAGTCTTTTATCAGATACATAAATTGCAAGTATTTTTCTACCATTCTAGAGTTGTCTCTTCACTTTTTTCTTGTCCTCTTTCGAAGTACATGTTTTACTTTTGACAATTTTCAACTTACCTATTTTTTTCTTTGGTTATGCGTTTGGTGTGGTATCTTAGAAACCATTGCTTAATCCAAGGTCATAAAGATTTATACCTATGTTTTCTTCTAAGGTCAGTTTTTCTTTTTAATTTGTGAGAAGAGGTCAGGGAGATAATTTTTAAATGTTTATTTAATTTGGAATGGTGGCAGAAGTTGAAGTAGATATATCCAGCGAGCATCTGGAAACTTGGTACCAGAAATTTAGAGAGAAAATTGGGTTGAAGTTAGAGATTTGGTTGCCTCTTACATAAAGGTCATAGTTGAAGCTATTAACATGTTAATCTCCCACTGTAGATCAGGTGCTTCTGAAGAAACACAATGGTAACTCAGATTTGGGTGCCACGGCGGTCAATGTGTTAAAGTAGTGGATGAAATTACCAAAGGAGAAAGTTGTAGACAAGAGAGTAGGGAGGCCAGTGACAGAAATTTGGGGAACACAGTTTTAAGAAAATCAATGGGGGACAAAACTGTATGACAGTAAATTAAAGAGTGAGTAGAAAGTAATGAAGGCAGAAACCAGATTGTGAGGAAATATCAAGTGTAGGATTTTCTTAAAGATGTAGGATTCTGAAATGTAAATATTAATACAAATCTTTGTGCTTCTGAATATCAAAAATTGTTGTATAGCTGAAAAACAGATGCATGGGTAGCCAAATTAAAGAAAAAGAGGAGTTCTTTTAGTTACCATATCTGTGCCTCTTTTTTATTTGAGTAGACAATTTTTAAACCACTTTTGAGTTATGACTGACATACAAAAAGCTGTACATATTTTGTACAACTGGAAGAGTTTGGAGATAAGTATACACTGATGAAACTATCACCACAACTGATACCATAAACAGTTCTGAGGTGATACCTCTTTGTGGTTTTGATTTACATTTCTCTGAGAAATGTCTATTCAGATGGCTATAATCAACAAATGTTGATGATGACATGGAGAAAAGGCAATACTTGAGTGCTGTTGGTGGGAATGTCAGTTGGTGCAGCCACTATGGAAAACTACGGAGGTTGCTCCAGAAGTTAAAAATATAACTACTGTTTGATTCAGCAATCCCAGTTCTGGGTATATATCCAAAGGAACTGAAATTCAGTTCCTTTGCCCATCTTTAAATCAGATTATTTGGGATTTTTTTGCTATTCGATTGTAGGGGTTCTTTGTATGTTTTGAATAACCTTTATCAGATACATGGTTTGCAGGTATATTCTCATTCTGCAGATTTCCTTTTCATTTTGTTGTTTCCTTTACTGTACTGAAGTTTGTGGTTTGATGTAGTCCCACTTGTCTATTTTTACTTTTGTTGTCTGTGCTTTTGGTGTCATATCCTAAGAGATGCTTGCTAAGGCCAATGTCAGGAAACTTTTCCCCCATGCTTTCTTCCAGGAGTTTTATTGTTTCAGACCTTACACTTAAGCCTTTAATACATTTTGAATAGTTTTTTTTTGTATGATGTAAGATAAGGGTCCAGTTTATTCCTTTTGTATATGGCAATTCAGTTTCCCAAGACCATTTATTAAGGGGTTATCCTTTTCCCATTGTGTATTCTTGGCTTCCTTGGCACCTCAGTTGACTATATGTAAGTGGATTTATTTCTGGGCTCTCTGTTCTGTTGCATTGATCTGTGATCTGTATGTTTATTTTTATACCATACTGTTTTGGTTACTGTGCCTTGGTAGTATATTTTGAAATCAGGACATATGATGCCTCCAGGTTTATTCTTCTTGCTCAAAACTGCTTTGGCTATTTGGAGTTTTTAGTGTTTTCCATATGAATTATAGGAATTTTTCTTGTTTCTGTGAAAAATGCCATTGGATTTTGATAGCAATTGCATTGAATCTATAGATTGCTTTAGGTAGTATAGACTTCTTAATGGTGAAGATTTGGAAATTTATTATCTGACCTTTTATTATCAAACATAAAATGTCATTTCAGATTTAATACATTTTCCCTGGTAATTTCTTTCTGATAGTGACCATTTTTATGAGGTGGTCATTTCCTGCTGAATATTAAATTGGCCATATCAGGGAGCAAGAAAAAATTTCATAGTCAAAACTGGTGCTTGAGGTGGTAAGGGAAGGGCAGGAACTCATACCATATGGAGAAAAAGTGAGATAGATTTTATTCCTTAAGTATTAAGGAAGTATGCTAGTTACTGTGTCTGCTTTATTTGCTTGAAGCAAACTCAGAGTTAGCAAAGACAAGTAAGCAGGAAGAGTAAGGCAAGGTGCTTCCTCCGTAGGTGTAGGGTGATTGGTGAAGAAGCCCTCATATGCTCCACAGGACACCATGAGTGTTCAAATAAAGAGGGACAAATTTTACAGCAAAGAATTCATTTCATCACCAGTATTGGAGAAATAATTAAGGAGTAGAGGAGATTATGCAAATCAATAATTTTGCTTTTTTCCATTTTGAATAATAAAGTCACAAATAAAGGATGACTACTAGTGGTGCCTTTTGACCATTTATTAAGCTACATTAGCTCACTTTCTAAGAAACCTTTGGAAGAGTTTAAATTAAGATGAATTATTAGCATATAGAAGTTAGGACAAAACTAAACTGGATTTTTGACTGATGAAAATTTTTTTATGGAAGAGCTCTGTTATGTACCTGCCATATGTTTAAAGAGACATGAAACTCGTCAGACTGGGAGTATAGAATGCCATGGGGGGAAATATTTTATCCTTAGCTAATAGTCTTTAAAATATAATGGTTATCAGTAACAATGGGACATATGAAACTTTTTAAAACTGACCACATGGTACATCTATTTTGGGGGTTAAACCTCAGTTTTTTTTAATGACTTAACACAATGAGTTTATTTCTGAGTTACATCACAATTCAATGCAGGTTGGAGGTAGGGGGAGGAGGAAGAGAGCCTTTTGCATCTGATGGTTCTGCTGGATCCTCTAATAGATGAGGGAAGAGAGCACGGGGAATTGCATGGGAAAGTTTCACTGCTGTAGTCTGGAGGTGGTGTTGATCACTTCTGCCCATAATTCACTGGCTCGAACACAGTAATGTAAACCTAGATATTAGTTGGGTATAGAATAAGTCTTCAATATATATATGCACATAGATTTTAGTTAGATAAAATGTGCATGATATTTGTGGGATGATTTACCAGAGTATTTTTCAAGTTGTCCATTATACAGGGTAATTTACTTGGACCCTGGAAGTTCATGTATGTTTTGAAAGTATAAATTGTATCAGCCAAACACCAAATCTATTTCCTTAAGGTATTATCAAGTGTGCTTTTGGTGTTAAAAGGCCACATGATCACTTTTTTAGAAAAAGATATGGTATAGGAAATAAATACATTGCTGTTGAGTCCGTAATCCCTTTCTTTGGTTAATCTGTCAAAACATTTAAATACTGATAAACTTGATGACCTGTTAAAGGCCAACATAGCTAATGTTCTGCCTGTGCGCTTTTTGAATCCTCTTTCTTTAATCTCCCAAAAGGCAATTGACATACATCCAAAAGAAGTGCCATAGTGAACCTGATGGACCTGGGGTAGCAGCGTTAACTAGCGAGGAGCGGACTCGATGGGCTAAGGTTATAATTTACACTTTTCTTTTGAGGTACAGTTGACATACAACATTATACTTGTTGTATAACAAGTATACAATATAATGATTCGGTATTTGTGTATACTGAGAAATAATCACCACAGTACACAGTAAGTCTAGTTAACATCCATCACCATAATGAAAGTTACAAATTTTTTTTCTTGTGATGAAAACTTTTAAGATCCACTCTCTAGCAACTTTCAAGTATACAATACAGTATTATTAACTGTAATTTACACTTTTCTTGATGAACCTATTCCCTAACCTTTTGAGATTTTCTGAACATTTTTTATTTAACTTGCACCATTTTATCATTATTTCCTTTCCTTTTAGGCACGAGAATATTTGATTCATCTTAATCCAGACAACTTGACTATGTTAGAAAAAATTCAAAGCAGTTTACTGGTGTTTTCCTTAGAGGATGACAGTCCACATGTAACACCAGAAGATTATTCCCAGGTAGTTAACTATCTTGTTTTGTTATTTCTTCCCACAAATTTTTCTGTGTATATTAAACACGAGAAGAATTTTGTTACATGCAGACTCTTAAAACTTTCTTAGCTATACACACACACACACACACCATTTGAAGCTTATACATAAATAATGGTTTATAAATTCTTGCCACATTGTTTAGGTCCATTTGGATATATCTTTTATGCTGTTTAAAGCAGTGTAACTGTTATTTGTTTATCTTACGTCAGTGTTTCCCAGCCTTCTCACTGATTGCATATGCAGAAATTTGCACAGGACGCTGGGCTTTTACCAAAGGTGACATGAGACCCCACCTGTAACCCACACCAGTGTACCTTGACACCTTAGTTGGTGACGTCTGTCTGAGAATTATATCACTCTTGCAAGTAATTTATCATTTGGTTTTATAGAACACACTTACTTTAGTGAGTTAAAGGGTGAATGTGGCCTTACTTTTTTTTTGACCCTGGGGCAATATCATTTCCTGGAAAATAATAAAAAGTAGTAGTCATATTTGTTGAAGTCATAGTCTTTTGAAAACACTGAAATTATTTTATAATGTGTTAATCAATATTAAATGATAGAAATAAAATAATATAAAATTGAAAAACCTTGTAGCTAGAAACCAATTTTTTCTCTTTAGCTATAATTTTTTTTTTGTAGAATCACCAAACTTCTTGAGGTAGAATATGTTTTAATGAAGTATTGGTCAAACTTTTTTTCTACTGTAATCAACAGACATACTTAGATTGGAGGCTATTACATGTACATGTACATCTAAGTAATAAAAGTTTCACCAAAAAGTGATTAGTTTTACTGTCTGCAATGTACTCTGATGTTTATGCTCTTTCATTTGTAAAGAATGTTTACTGTGATTTCATAACTCACTAATGACCCAAACTTACCATTTGAGAAACAGGCTTAGTGGGATATGAATTCTTGAAATATTTTCCTTATAACTAGGGTTTAATGACTAAACATATCGATGTTCCTATGCTATTCAAGTTGCAAGAGCCTTGTCCTTTCAATTGTATATTCTCTAAGCATCCGTGGAATATTGTGCCAGTATTCTCTCTTCTGGTAGAATTTGTTGGATTTTGAGAACTGTTTATAGTCAGGGCCAGAATTATTATCTCTTGAGTAAGCTATTATCATTTTATTAAATTTGATTTACCTGAAGAGGAGAAGTGAGATTATATATATGTGTGTGTGTGTGTGTGTTTGTGTGTGTGTATTTAAGATATAAACACTTAAAAACCAATATTAAAATTCTTTTAATTTGGAAATACTAATTGTATTTTAGGTAACTGCAAAGATTCTTACTGGAGATCCAACAGTACGCTGGGGAGACAAATCCTATAATTTGGTTTCTTTTTCTAATGGAGTATTTGGCTGTAATTGTGATGTAAGTAAACTACTGAAGTTACTGTTTTAAAAAATCTTTTAGATTAATGTAATGGCAATAATCTATAATTCTTACACTGCCCTATAGTAGTATAAGTAAGCACTTTAGCTTTCTGGCATTAAAGTAGAAGTTTTAGGTATGAATTCTCAGTGAAAGTAGAGTGTAGGGTAAGTTATTTTCATCTGTAGTCAGGCTGACAGTTTGGTGTGTATCTGCAAAGTGGCATTTGCATGTATTTTTATGTAGTGTAAGCTCTTTAAAATCCACTGTTACCTGTTTGTTGAGAATTACAACCTATTTTAAAAGATACAGCATTATGTGTATGTTCTATGCAGAGAGAAATGCCTGTGCATGTATTTCTAGATTTACCTAGAAATCTTATAACTATTTTTCTGAAATGACAGAAGATCTTTGGAACATTACTTATTTCCAGATTTTAAAATGTCTCATACCGAATACCATTTTTTACCGTCTTCATGAAGCACACACACAGCTTTCTTGTTTTCTTTTCTGTTCTGCCATGATATTCTTTAGTAACTGTACCTTGCCATTTTCTGATAGACATTCAGGAGATCTGTGAGCCAAGAAAATTGAAAAATCAGCCTAAGTCAGAGTTGCAGTATACACTTACAATCTCATTATACTACTTTTTCATAAAGTGTATAATTTGGCATAAAGTAGTGTGAGGTAGATTTTTTGTTTGAATTTGGGGACTTTTTTCCAAAAACATTTAGTAACTGCAAAATACTAAAAAGACCTGTTACATTGCTCTAGATTCAATAGTTGTATTAATCAGTATTTTCAGTTTTAGGGGTTGGAACCTAGATCAGACTGGCATTAGATTATGAAGATATTTGTAGCAAAGGGGTACAGCTCAATTTGGGTAAGCTCAATTTGACTTGCAGTGTCTAAATGCTTTCATGAGAAATTTCTCTCTCCATATTTTGGCGTTTCCGATGTTTGACTTCATTTTTAGGTAGACTACAGCATGTGAGATTTTTTTTTAACTTTTTTTATTGATTTATAATCATTTTACAATGTGTCAAATTCCAGTGTTCAGCACAATTTTTCAGTCATTCGTGGACATATACACACTCATTGTCACATTTTTTTCTCTCTGAGTTATAACATTTTGTGTATATTTCCCTGTGCTATACAGTGTAATCTTGTTTATCTATTCTCCAATTTTGAAATCCCAGTCTATCCCTTCCCACCCTCCACCCCCCTGGCAACCACAAGTCTGTATTCTCTGTCTGTGAGTCTATTTCTCTCCTGTATTTACGCTTTGTTTGTGTTTGTTTGTTTGTTTGTTTTTGTTTTTGTTTTTTAGACTCCACATATGAGCGATCTCATATAGTATTTTTCTTTCTCTTTCTGACTTACTTCACTTAGAATGACATTCTCCAGGAGCATCTATGTTGCTGCAAATGGCATTATGTTGTTGGTTTTTATGGCTGAGTAGTATTCCATTGTATAAATATACCACATCTTCTTTATCCAGTCACCTGTTGGACATTTAGGCTGTTTCCATGTTTTGGCTATTGTAAATAGTGCTGCTATGAACACTGGGGTGCAGGTGTCATCCTGAAGTAGATTTCCTTCTGGATACAAGCCCAGGAGTGGGATTCCTGGGTCATATGGTAAGTCTATTCCTAGTCTTTTGAGGAATCTTCACACTGTTTTCCATAGTGGCTGCACTAAACTGCATTCCCACCAGCAGTGTAGGAGGGTTCCCCTTTCTCCACAGCCTCTCCAGCATTTGTCATTTGTGGATTTTTGAATGACGGTCATTCTGACTGGTGTGAGGTAGTACCTCATTGTAGTTTTGATTTGATTTTCTCTGATAATTAGTGATATTGAGCATTTTTTCATGTGGTTTTGATCATTTGTATGTCTTCCTCGGAGAATTGCTTGTTTAGGTCTTCTGCCCATTTTTGGATTGGGTTGTTTATTTTTTTCTTATTGAGTCGTATGAGCTGCTTATATATTCTGGAGATCAAGCCTTTGTCGGTTTCACTTGCAAAAATTTTCTCCCATTCCGTAGGTTTTCTTCTTGTTTTACTTCTGGTTTCCTTTGCTGTGCAGAAGCTTGTAAGTTTCATTAAGTCCCATTTGTTTATTCTTGCTTTTATTTCTTCTAGGAGAAAATTTTTGAAATGTATGTCAGATAATGTTTTGCCTATGTTTTCCTCTAGGAGGTTTATTGTATCTTGTTTTATGTTTAAGTCTTTGATCCATTTTGAGCTGATTTTTGTATATGGTGTAAGGGAGTGTTCTAGCTTCATTGTTTTACATGCTGCTGTCCAGTTTTCCCAACACTATTTGCTGAAGAGACTGTTTTTATTCCATTGTATATTCTTGCCTCCTTTGTCGAAGATGAGTTGACCAAAAGTTTGTGGGTTCATTTCTGGGCTCTCTCTTCTGTTCCATTGGTCTATATGTCTGTTTTTGTGCCAATACCATGCTGTCTTGATGACTGTAGCTCTATAGTATTGTCTGAAGTCTGGGAGAGTTATTCCTCCAGCCTCTTTCTTTCTCTTCAGTAACAGCATGTGAGATTTTGAATCTCATGTTTTCATAGCTTTCTTCATAGATGAGTGTTCTGCATGGAAATAGTCAGCTCCCCCTCTCCCCTCCCCAACCCCCCCCACCAGTGGTTCCAGCAAAAGTCCTGGGAATAATGCCCATTGTGTTAGCCTGTGTGAATCGTGTGCACGTTGCAGGAAATATTTCACCTGGCTTGGGACATGCTGAACCTTGGGCCTTACCTGGTAAAGTCACTCATTCAGACTACAACAGAGGTGTGGTGGTTGCCTAAGAAAAGTAAAGTAGCTCTTATTGGAGAAGAAGGTAGAGTGGTTGATGTGCAGGTAATAAAATGTCTGTTACAGTAACTCATCAGTGTTCATGGTTGCTATGAGTCATTTTGAAGATTTGTTGCCTTTCCTCTTCCTTGGAGTCCACTGTTGAAAAATATTTCTTGTTGATACAGTTTTTTTTTTTCTCTTTAGTTCCTTGTTTGATTCTTCTTGACTTTCTCAGTCTGGTTTATATCCTCACTATTCTCTGGAAACTCTCCTCTGTAAAGTAGCTGACCACCTTTTGGCTTCTTCCCTCCATTTCGCTTTGACTTGTCAGCTGCAGTTGATCACCCGCTTCTGCGTGTGCATCTGACACTGTCTCCACCCTCTTGACAGACTTCTTCTATCTACTGAGTCTAAAGCTCACCTGAATATTATTCATAACTGCTTTCCCCTATGCCTGCTCTCTAATCTAGTTCAAAAGTTTCATTGACCATTTCTACATGGGTAGGGTGCAGCTATATTTTTGTCAGTTTTACTCATTATTCTCATTTTCAGAGTATTGTTGCCCGGTATGTTAAAACTGAATGTTACATTATTACATAAGGGTAAATTTCCTTCTCAGGAACTCAGCATCTTGTTTTCTTCCCTCACTCCCAACCCCCTAAAAAACCACCTTACACTACTTTGGTTTTCCTGATAGCACCAACATCCTGCTATTTACTCAAATTCAGGATGGAAATAAATTTAATGATCTTTTCTATTTTTGAATGAAGAATACTGGACCTATAGTGAGCATATATCTCAGCACAACTGAGATACTTTGCTGTAGTAAAGTGTATGGACATGTTTTATGTGGATGCATTATCACCCATGCATTTAGAAAATTGAGCTGATGACTCCACCCGATTATCTGCTTTTAGCCTTCCATGTAGGTTTCCCTTGCAACCTAATATGATTACTGAAAATGCAATTTTACCTCTGTAAAACATTATTAATAAAGTATATATACTGTAGAGTAAGGCTGTTCGTCATCCAGAAGCCGTGTTGCTTCTGTCTTCCATTGGTGCTTGAATATGCACTTCTGTGATTATACTGCATGATTGCATTTCGCTCTTAGAATTTAAAATCCTGGGGTCAGCTATTACATCTTCTCTATATAGGCTTTATTATAGGGTTTTGTGAAGGGCACGTAGGAAGCATATAGTAACATTAGTTGTTAATAGCAGCAGTTACCAATTACTGCTGTGGGCCAGGGTCTACAGTAAGTACTAAATAAGCATTTTTAAAGTCGTTTTTCACATCAGCTGTATGAGAATAGGTATTGTTTTCCCTACGAACAGATGAGGCTGTTGACTCAGAGAATTAAGTAGCTTTCTCATGGTTGCACAGCTGGCAAGTGGTGTGGTGTGGCTTAGAACCCAAGTCCACATTTTTAAACAGTGTGTGACTCATGTGCTTCCATATGAGTGAAAAAAAAAAGAAAGGTAAAGCTTATATAAACAAAGCATCAGGAAAGCATTTGAATTTTTTATACTTCCTACTTTTTTTTAAATTGATGATTAGGTTTCCACAGGAGATGGGTGGGTAGAATTACAAATCAGACTTATATCCTTCAGTGTTGCTCTTTCTTACTGCTTCCAGTGATGGAGTTAGAGATTACACTATTGTCTTAGAGGAGTGATATATGCAAGCTCTGTGAAAATTCTTTGTGAAGCTACAAACACCATGCAGTTTTGAGATGCAATTAGGAAAGGGTTTTATCCATGACCTGTGAATCTTATTACACGTGCTGTCACTGCCAAGTGGGGTGAACTGCTCTTATGTCTTGTACTGACCTCGCTAGTGAGCCTTTCCTGAAGCTGTGGTGGCTGCCTGCCTGGTAACAGTATACTGTGCTTCTAGGCTCCATGGGGCCATGATACACAGCAGCAAAGCTGTGCAGTGTTACAGCGATACTTAAGACACCTAATTACACCTTTTGACACTGGGTCCAGGTGGGCTGGGTTTGTCTCTTAAGCCTCCCTTCTTTCTCTCCAAGGCTAGCGGTGTCGCTTTCAGTTCATGAATGTTAACTCTGTGTAGTGTGAAGTGGTAACCTTAACGCAGAGGGAAAAAAAAGTCTGATGTAGTCATCAAAGGAACGTGGAGAAAATAAGTCAAAAGTTTATTCTCCACAGTAAATGATGGAAGAATTCACTAGCCACAATTTTTTTCTCTAAACAGAGCTGTCAAAATGGTAACACCCCTGTAACTCAGTTCATCTTTCCCACATTGTTTACATTGAGAATTATTTCTGCCACATTTGAACACTCTTTTAGATATGTTCACAAAATCATTATGCTTTTTAATACTGACCTAGTGGCCTGTGTCATTACCAAAAGAAGTTAATACCCATCCTCAGTTTAGCGTTCAGATGATCTGCCACCCCCATCTGCTTTTCCGTAGTGCTCTTACAAGCCCAGAACATATTTTAGCATGGAAAGCGGATACCTCCTTTTGACTTCCAGTACAAAGAGCAATTCTTTTCTCCAGATGATTCATGTTTACTTTACATCCCTCCCCATTACCTAAAGGGCCCTAATTAGGTGCTTCCAACTTTAAGTATTTGTTCTTTCTCAGAAAATAAAATACATCAGTTACTATACTGTAGAATATCCATATCTTCATCATTAGGAGGTGAGACATTTGAGAATTTTGCACTTTATTATGTTTTGAGAATGGAGGGAAAGTGAAGAGAAAATACAGGTTCAAATTTTGACCTGACATAAGGTGTTGAAAATCTTGTATATTTTCATTTTAAGCACGCCCCTTTTGATGCAATGGTTATAGTAAACATCAGCCATTATGTTGATCAGAAGATTATTGAGACTGAAGGAAGATGGAAGGTATGTTAGAACAAATATTTCATCCTTTTTCTCCTCGTATTTTTATAGATACAATATTTTTAAGCGTTCTCTATTTTCAGGGTTCAGAAAAAGTACGGGATATACCGCTTCCAGAGGAGCTTGTTTTCACTGTGGATGAAAAAGTGTTAAATGACATCAACCAAGCTAAAGCCCAGTATCTCAAGCAGGTAGATTTTTCACTTTTCTCTCAGATGGTAATACTTTGTTTTTTTAACTACTATATGTAAATATTAGGCCATCATCCAAGCATGAAGGCATAAGCCATTTAAAAATTAAACTTTTAACACCTTTATTTGTGTCTGATGACTACTTTAATGCAAATGATAATTTGGGTATCTTTGGAGTATTCTCCTTAGGTGATTTTTCACTGTTCGCATTTAATTCTTTTTGTTAGGCATCTGATCTGCAGATTGTGGCGTATGCCTTTACACCTTTTGGCAAAAAGCTAACCAAGAAGGTGATGCTTCACCCTGATACGTTTGTTCAGCTTGCACTTCAGCTGGCCTATTACAGACTTCATGGACGGTGAGAACCATTCATTTCCCATTTTCACAATCTTGTTGTTGTTTTTGGGGGTGGTAATTAGGTTTATTTATTTATTTTTAGAGGTGGTACTGGGGATTGATCCCAGGACCTCGTGCATGCTAAGCATGCAGGCTACCACTTGAGCTATATGCTTCCCCCATTTTCAGAATCTTGGAGTCCAGGGATACATCTTTACCATAGTTAACCTATCCTAATTCCTCAGTGTTTTTCTGACTCCTCCCAGTTGGCACTGCATCCTAATTTGTACTTTCATCAACCGGGTTCTTAAGAGTTCCCATCTGTGACACTTTCACAATCTTTCTGTATTCGGGTTTTTTTGGTTTTTTTTGGTACTTTTGAAGTATCTGCCCTCTTGTAATACAGGTTTGCCATTCTTTGGAATTCAGATCATTTGGTTTTCTTACCGCCTCAGTTTTCTCATGGGTTCATGAAAGATATGATTTAATAGATTATTCAGTCTTTACTCATTTTCCGGCTGGAGAGATGGTATGTTGTGACTTTCTACATCCTAAGCAGTAGTGGAAGCTCCTTGATCTTGCTTTTTAAAATGTAATCTGAGAATATATATCTTTAAGTGGGATGTTTAGATCATTTATATTTAATATAATTATCAATAATATTGGAGTTAAGCTTACAGTCTTGCTGTTTATTTTCTCTTTCTCCCATTTGTTTTTTGTTCTTTTTTATCTTCTGAATTCATAGCATTTAATTGTTTGATTTATCTCCATTATCAGCTATACTGGGTTTTTTTTTCAGTAGGGTTTTTACAAATTAGATCTTTAACTTATCACAGTTTACCTTCAGATATTTTCCATTTGAAGTGTAATGTAAGCACTTGGAAACAGAATGCTTCTCTTTTGCTTCTCCCATTCTTTGTGCTCTTGTCATACATGATACTTGCATATATTTTAACAACCTCACAATGGACTACTATTTTTGCCTTAAATAGTCAGTTATGTTTTACCACAATGAAAGAAGATAAATAAAGCTTGCCGTTGTAACTAATTTTAAGTGTATAATCCAGTAGCATTAATAATATTCACAGTGTTGTGCAGCCATCACCACTATCTGTTTCCAGAATTTTTTCACTACCCCGAACAGAAACTGTGTACACATTAAGCAGTAATTTCCCATTCCACCTTCTACCCCAACCCCTGGTAATCTCTAACTTATTTTCTGTCTATATGAATTTGCCTGTTAAAGATATTTCCTGTGAGTGGAATTATACATTATTAGTCATTTTGTGTTTGGCTTATTTCACTTAGTATTTTCAATGTTCATTCTGTTTATGGCTGAATAATATGCCATTGCATGAATATACCACATTTTATTTATCCATCTGTTGATAAACACTTGGGTTGTTTCCACCTCTTGGCTATTGTGAATAATGCTGCTATGAACATTCACATACATGTATTGGTTTGAGTCCCTGTTTTCAATTCTTAATGTGTCTGTAACTAGGAGTGGAATTACTGCATTGTGTCGTAATTCTATGTTTAACTTTTTGAGGAACTGCCAAACTATTTTCCATAGTGGCAACACCATTTTACATTGCTGCCAGCAACATACAAAGTAACAAGTAATTGTTCAACATCCTTGCCAACACTTCCCGTTCTGCAGGTTGTCTTTTCACTCTCTTGATAGTATTCTTTGATGCACGAAGTTTGTAATTTTGAAGTCCGGTTTATCTGTTTTTCTCATTTGTTGCCTGCACTTTTGGTGTGATACTCAAGAAATCATTGCCAAATCCAATGTTATGAAGATTTCTCTGTATGTTTTCTTCTAAGAGCTCTATAGTCTTAGCCCTTACTTAGGTCTTTGATTTGTTTGGAGTTAATTTTTGTTTATGGTGTATGGTAAGGGTCAAAATTTATTCTTTTAAAAAATTTTTAAATTTAACTTTTTGGGGGGTTAATTAGGTTTATTTATTTTATTTTTAGAGGAAGTACTGGAGACTGAACCCAGGACCTTGTGCATGCTAAGCATATGCTCTAGCACTTGCTAGAGCTATACCCTCCTAGCTATACCCTCCTCATCAGTGTATTTTTTAATTTACCTTGTGATTTCTCCCTGACCAATTGGTAAAGAGTATGTTGTTTAATTTCTACATATTTGTGAAATTTTCAGGTTTACTTCTGTTATGCTTTTTTACTTTCATTCCATTGTCATCGAAGAAGATACTTTGTATCATTCCAGTCTTTTTCAATTTATTGAGACTTGTTTTGTGACCTAATATATGGTCTGTCCTAGAGAATGTTGCATGTGCACTTGAGAAGAATTTGTATTCTGCTGTTCCTAAGTGGCATATTCTATATATGTCTTGTAGCTCTAGTTATTTATAGTGTTGGTGAAGTCCTGTGTTTCCTTATTGATCTTCTGTCTACATGCTCTATCCATTTTTGAAAGTTGGGTATTGAAGTCTCTAGCTATTGTTGTAGAGTTGTCTAGTTCTCTCTTCAGTTCTGTCAGTGTTCGCTTCATATATTTTAGAGCTCTGTTGTTTGGTGCATGTATTTTTATAATTGTTATATTTTGATGAGTTAAACACTTCATCAATATATAATATCCTATTTGTCTTGTTTAGCCCTTTTTACTTAAAATATATCTTATCTGATAATAATATAGCCACTCCACCTCTTTTGGTTACTATTAGTGCAATACCTTTTTCCATCCTTTTACTTATAACCTCTTGATGCTTTGAAACATTTCCTATTATACCCGGCCCTATGTACCAGAGTACTTTTAGCTCTTTGATATTGAAAATAGCCTCTTTGTTATTGAATGTCTCAAGCATAGTCTATATTATAGAAGTTAGTCTCTGACCAAAGCCAGCTTTATTAGGTAAACTCTCGTGATAACACTAGAGCATTTTCTTGCTCATGACAGATTCTTTCTTTCATTTTTTCTTGTAGCCCTGGTTGCTGCTATGAAACAGCTATGACAAGATACTTTTATCATGGCCGTACAGAGACCATGCGATCATGTACAGTAGAAGCAGTCAGGTGGTGCCAGTCCATGCAGGATCCTTCTTCCACTGTGAGTATTTGAAAAGAAAAAACAGAAATTTTTTGTTCTAAAGGAAACTTGGGCCCTTAAATAATGAACTTCTTTACTTCAGTTCCCTTGGATTGATAAAATACTTTCAAACCTTTTTTTTCCTGAAATTTTTACACATTTGTTCATTTGCCAGTAATACATATACTTGGAGAGAATAAGAAACAAGGAAGACTTGAGAAGCCCATTTGTGTCATTTTCTAGGGGAAGTATCTTCAACACCTTGAGAATTTCACTACTATTGATCTGCCTTTAGAATAACGCTTGTAAAATGCAGACTCCCCCCAAACATCGTTAAAACAAAGCTTTTCTTGATGTGGTTGAATGTTTTTGAAACCTGATTCTTGTTTTCATATATTAAAAGTAGAACAGCTTTATACTTAAGCAGTTAGACAAGAGGGCATTTCCTTCCCACTGCTATTTTGGTATTGTGTTTATTTCTTTAGTTTTGATAAACATAGTTATGCACATGCTAACTTATTTTAATTTCATGGAGCTGCTTTGTTGTTATTTTTATAGAGCTGTGCTTTAGTTTTGAAATCACAGTTGTTTCTGTCTTTATACTTGTTAATGTCATGTCAGTGCTGCCCACAAGTTCCTATTTTCTTATTCCCGGAAAGAAATAATGAAGTTACAGGGCATATAGGAAAGAAAAGACAGTGGAATAAGTGAGGAAAAGACAGAAGTATGATGTGTCTCAAGGTCTTCCTAGAAATTGTTTTTCTCTCCCAAATTACCCAAATCCTAATTACTCTGAGCCTAGGTTTTTTTCTCGTTTAGTTTCTATACAGTGTGTTATTGACGTATCTCTTGATTTTTAACACAGCTTTTGGAGCAGCAGCACAAAATGTTACAAGCTTTTGCCAAACATAATAAGCTGATGAAAGATTGTTCAGCTGGAAAAGGTACACTGGGATTGTTCCAACCTGTAAATATTTTTTCTAATGCTGAAAATGTTTTTCTAACTTCAGTTTTGGGGTTTTGTTGCAGGATTTGACCGTCACCTTTTAGGTCTCCTGCTCACAGCAAAAGAGGAAGGTCTCCCTGTTCCGGAACTCTTTACAGACCCACTTTTCTCCAGAAGGTAATACAACGTAGTGTTTTGTGATATTGTCAGTTTCTTTCTTACTGAATGTTAAAAGCTTTTCAGAAACAATATAAGCTTCTGTAAGCCTAGTAAAATGTCCTTTTTTTGTGCTGTACAGTGGAGGAGGTGGAAACTTTGTTCTCTCAACAAGTCTGGTTGGCTATTTAAGAGTCCAGGGAGTGGTGGTTCCCATGGTGCACAATGGCTATGGATTTTTCTATCATATCAGAGATGACAGGTGAGGCTGCCCCTTTTATTCTTCCTGTGCTCACTTCCGTTGGTGTGTCTTTCCTACGCTGTGATTTGGATTGCGTTGCCATAGGTCACTCACTAGCTACATGGATAATTATTTTTACCACTTAGGCATTGAACATGTATGTTTCTTTTTCCTGGTTTTGGGATATTTCTCAAATCAGTCCTTTAGGTGTTCTGTGCAGAACACCATTTAGGGTTGACTTGGTAATCATATCATCATCCTCCTCAAAACTCAGTACCCATAATTACCATATTTGTTCTACCCAAGGTATTATATGGTAAGTTCAGATAAAAATTTGATGCCCTTTAAATATGTAGTGATTAGGGCAGTCATAGCCAATACTAATGAGACCAAGACGAGATGCGGTAGATTAGTTTATATTCAAAAAAGGATGTTTTACCAATTCAAATGCATTTCATTTCAGTTGTACTGGGTTTGACTTAAGTTTATGGAAAGAGTGAGAAAGCAAATATTAAAATCTGGTAGGGGAAAGAGAGGTGGAGAACAGGGTAATATGGAATTGACAGAAAGGCTTGGAAGATCCCCTTTCAGAGTCTGGCCGTCTCTTCACAGGGGTCTTTCAAAGCTTGGGAGGCTTACTTAAAAATAATGAGGCTACATTTAGCACTAGGTGAGTAAAGAGAGAGCAAGCTTGGAGGTGTTTCATGTAGAGTGTGAAAAATTGGAATGATAATATGTCTGATATATTTCAGTTTCTAAAATAGTTTTCCTACTTTTCCTTTTTTAAGGATTTATAGTCAGTGTTTTTTTTTTCTCAAAACTTGATCATCCGCTTTCATGTCAAGCATAATCTCTGCATAGTCAGTTGTAGCCAACTGTGTTCGTTGTACCAGACCAACAACAAGTACCTTGTTGGCACCTAAGTCTTTACATGATATATTCCCATGGTATTCAGTTTGTGTACATTAGTCTTAAAATTAAAGGTTAAATGATGAAGGTTAAACATAGATCTTATTGTCCTTTTGCCTAATAGAGGTCTAAAATCATCATCACATCCAGAGAATAACTAAGGATTCTAACATACTCCCTGACAAGCAGTGAAACTTATATTGCATGCAATGGTAAGAGTTTAGGCCAGATAGGCCTCAGCTGTCTGACTTTGTGAAAAATATATTTTTAATGATCCTGGGACAGAACTTCCTTTCACTCATTCAGGAAATATTTAGTGAGAATTTACAGTGTGCCAAGGATTATTTCGGGTGCTAAGGATACAAGACAGACAAGATAAACCCTCTTACAGGTTTTATTTTCTGTTTGGGAAAGAGGAACAAAAGCAAACAAGTAAGCAGGATAACTTCAAATAGTGTGTAGCGATGAACGATGTGAAGGAAATAAGCAAGTTGATGTAATAGAGACAAACCGGTGGGGAGGTGGAGCCTAGCTTTGTATGGTGGGGTGGGGGTGGGGATAGGGGCTTGGGATGGTGGAGAACGAGGTGTTGAGGATGCAGCGGAGTCAGTCATATGAGTGAGCAGCCCAGCAAACGGCTCTCCGGAGTCCAGTGAGTGCTCTCTCCAGCGCCTCCACCCAGCCTCAGTCACCGTCTTCTCCCGCCTAAGGCCACAGATTCTCTGTGGTCTTCTTGCTCCCTCCTCTTCTTCCCTCCAGACCAGTCTCTACATGACAGCTCTGATGGCCAAATGTAACTCAAGTCATATTGTTCCCCTGCTTAAACCCTTTTAAGGGCCTTTCCTTTCCCTCCGGTCAGCCCCAGCATCCTTCTGTGATCCCCCCCAGGACTTGTGCTCTCGTTTACCTCCCGGCTGTACCTCCTACCCCAGCCATGCCAGCCCCTCTTCTTTGAACAGCCGAGCTAGCGCCCTCCTCAAGGCCTTCACGGGCAGATTCCCTCAGCCCAGCAGTCTCCTCCTTGAAATACGTGCATGGGGGACCCCCTCATTTCATACAGATACTTGCTGTCATCTAAGAGGCCTTCCCTGACCATCTAACATTGCACGTTCCTCCCTTCCCCACACACACCTGCTGCACTGTAACATTTATAGTAACATTTATAGCGTGTGTGTGTGTGTGTGTATTTCTATCTTATCTATCTTTCCTTCCTGGACTATAAGCACACAAGAACATGGTCTTTAATATGTTTTTGTATCCCCAGCTCTGTACCAATGCCTCATAAATACCTTGCACTCAGTAATTGTTTCACAATGACTTTGAGGTTGAACATAAGTATATGTGTCTGAGGGTAGGGAAGACCTTGGCATTTGTAAGGAACAGAGGCAGTATGGCTATCAATTAGCATTTGAGTGCGCGGGCGGTAGAAGAGATTGAAGAGAGGTAGACAGGACTTCATCTGGTAGGGCAGTGCTCTCAGCCCTGAGTGCATGTGAGGACACCTGGAGAGCTTTAAAAACAGCACTTCTGGGGATACTGATTTGGGTGGGGTGGTCACTTGATATAGGGCCTTGTAACGTGGTAAGGGGTTTGGATTTTCTCCTAAAAATAGTGGAAGCATTTTTACCAACTTTAAGTATGAAAGTTACATGTTTTATTTACATGTGAAAAGGACCACTGGCTGCTGTATGGAGTATAAATTAGGTAGACAGTAGTATGAGCAAGAATGAGATGAAGGAAGTCAGGAAGCGTGGATGGTAAGTTGAAGGAAGTAGTTGATTCTTGAAGGTGAAGAGAAGTGGAGGGATTTGAGAGATACTCTGGAGATAGAACCAGTAAGATTTACTGACGGATTGCTGATTGTGATGCTGGTATTTACTGGGATGGAGAAAATTAGGGGAGAGATGGGTTTAGGGGCATGTTGGGGTAGAATAAAGAATTTTGTTTTGTACATAGTGACATCAAGATTTCTGCTAATACAGTAGTATGTTTATATTTAACAAGAGAAGATGTCAGAAGGCAGCTGGATACATGAAGCTGGGGTTCAGGAAAGAGGTATACATTTGAGTCGTTACGATGTATGCATGCAAAATAGTTTTCAAACGAAATACATGGAAATTGAAAGGGATTTTTTTCATTCATTGCTAAGCTTGAAACTGTGTGACTTAAAATGCCATTTCAAAAATAAATCAGTTTTTAAATTTTAATTGAACTACATCCTCACTGTAAAAAATTTGTAAAATATGGAAAAATGTAAACTCTGGCTTCACCGTCTCTTGTGTCAGATTACTTTCACCTAGGGTGAGCAAGAATTCGTATTTCATATATGGATAGCCAGGTGGGATAAAGGTCATGGCTCTGTTCACCATCATCATTTGGAGCCTTTTGGCATTGATTTTAGCCTTGCACTTACTTATTATTTGTGTTTCACAGGTTTGTTGTGGCCTGTACAGCCTGGAAATCATGTCCAGAGACTGATGCAGAAAAGCTAGTTCAACTGATTTTTCGTGCTTTCCACGATATGATGCGGCTGGTGAATCCTGCTCACCTTTAGAGACTAATCATTTATTAAGAACTTACCAAAACATATCATTAAACTGGGTGCCGAGAGCGGGTTGGTGATGTGAGATAGGAAAGAGTGTTAAATGCAGCAATCATTAGAATTAGGCTCTGTAAATTCATTCTGACACAGAAACTAGAAACACTTATAAGTTTCCTCTGATGCAGCAGCAATGCAAATTACGGTATGGTGACCAGAGAATTATGCAAAGTTTAAGATAAGCCTCAACAATGCAAATCTACAAGTCTTAACAATGCAAGTCTAACTCTGACTCTTAAATATCTTTGTTGGTACTCGTGTAGGTAATAAATCTTCTCTCTGAACATCATCGTAGAGTCTACCTTCCAGCACTTTAATATCTTCTAGTTGCCAAAGGAAATGAAATATATGACTGGATGCTAATTTCCCTGAAATCAATGATTCCACATTGATTTACAAGCCTACTATGTTTGGGAAAGACCACTACAATTTAATGAACTTAAAAAAGAGAGATTCTGTTGAGCAGACAGAAGAATTAGGCTGTAGTAAGGAGGTTTACATCCTCTGACAACACACAAAACTCTTACAAAATTTATTCTAGTATATGGTTGTAATTAGTTTCGTGAATGTAAAATTAAAGCACTTATATTTAAAATCAGTAACTTTAAAAGGATTAAATATTAAGATTCTCAGGATTTTAGTTTTGTGTTTTTCCTCTGTTCAATTTTTGTAGTTTCTACTCTCAGGAAATAAAATTGTGAAAGTCATATAGCTTCTTGTTTTGTGTTTGAATAAGTGATTCATTCCCCTTTGACCTGCTTTCTGATAAGTTATGTATTGTGTAAAAATCCACCCAAAGCTTACTGTCTTAACAGCTAATCATTTCTCATGATTGTGTTGGTGGACTGAGCCCATCTGGATGGTGCTACAGCTGTCTTACCTGAGCTAGTCAAGCAGCTGCCCTCACTGGGCTGCGGGATGAGGCTGGTAAGTCTAAGACGGCCTCAGCCACTGCCTGTGGACTTGGTGGCTGGGACTGACTTCTGTACACACCAGTGGGGCTGTTCCAGAAAGGAAATGTAGTAGTTGCAAGGCCTCTTGAGGCCTAGGCTCTGAAGTCACAGTAAAGTCACACGGTGTCACTTTTGCGTTCTGTTGGCTAAAACAAGTTACAAGAGCAGTCCAGATTCAAGAAAGGGGAGGAGGAAATGCTTTATTGGGGGCCATTTTGTAGCAGGCTGCCACAAACATTACAATCTGTTTAGCATACTGACTGTATATGTTCTCTCTTGGTCCTTTTTTGGTTACATTTTCCTAAGTTCTGAATTTGATAAAACTGGTTCATTATCACTGTTATTTCTTTGTGAAAGCATTGAATTGACTTCTGTGGCATTTGATATCTCCTTAACAGTTACTGTAGAATAGGAAGATGAAATCTGAACTATAGCCCTCTTTGCTCACTAGTACACTGGTTGATGAGATTGCCAGGCCACTTATAATCATTTGGTTGGTTGTTTTTAAATAGTGTCTAAAGAATTGGGTATTTTAGAAGCTGCTCACCTCCTGCAGAGAAACTGCTTTTCACTCATGCTTAACATGTTTCCCTAACCTGCCTGAAGTCAAGAATCAGTTGGAATGCTGTTTAAGGAGACATTCATGGGCCTTACTCAGACCTTCTGAGTCAGAATTTACAGGGGCAGATGCCACATGATCTTTATCAGGCAAGTTGGAAAATAATAACACAAGAGTAGATTTTCTCACCTTAAGTCACTACGGTACCTGCCCTTCGCCACACTTTCCTCTTGGTTAACTGAAATTCAGTCTGCTGCTACACATGGTTACATCTGAAAAATTCCTTGGGACTATGCGGTTTATTACAGATAGATGATCTGATCTGGATAGTGTACTGACCTAAATGACCTGTCACAGAAATGAATGGTTATTGCAGCAGTAAATTACGGAAAAAACACTTTAGAGTGGTTAGCTGCCAGAGGTTGCTTACAATATTTCTTCTTGTTCGCCATCTAAACATAGTTCCTCCTTGTAGAAGTGGATTAATATTCTGGGAAAATCTAATTATTTGTAAAAAAAAAAAAGTAACACAGTTGCTATAGAAATAGCACTTTATTGATGTTTCCAATGTTTCAAATCGCACTAATATGTGGAATTTTTATTAACGAATTTTAAACATTTAAAAAGATGCCTCTTTCTTGCTTTATGGAACAAATGTGTGCTTATAGTTAGCTTGTTTAAGGACAATTCCATTTTCTCTTGGACTCTGATAATAAAGCTGGGAATATATTTTCTTTAAAAAAACCTCAGTTCCCTAATAGAATAATTTGGAAATTTACCAAGGGGGAGAGTAGACTGTTACTGAACAATGTATTTTTCCTTTGTAATGAGGAAAATTGTTCCCAAACCACATTGTCATCTACCCAGGCGTTTAGGACTGTAAGAATTTTCCTTATGTTTGTGACTTCTAATTCTACAGTTTTATATACCTAAACTTTGCTCTTAACTTTTTCCGTGTGTTTCTGATAACTCAGAGCTAAGCTGTTTTCATACTTCAACAAGCCAAGTGTCACCTCTAATCCTAAGTTTCAAATGCTGTACTATCAACCCCCAAGTTGTATGTTCTAAATTGATCTGGAATAAGATAGATCTCTATTTCTTGATGAATTAATAGCTCTTTTACAAGTCAGAAAAAGTTGTAGAATGATTTGAATTTATTTTTAAGATACACTATAACAAGAGTTCTGTGCCCCGGCCTGGACACTGACCATGGAATGATAGATGCCTTTCTGTGCCAGCAGCTGCTGATGCGTGCCATGCTCCATGACTCTGCCGTTCTCAATCACCACGATCACGTCTGCGTTCTGGATGGTGGACAGGCAGTGAGCAATCACGATGCAGGTGCGGCCTTCCCTGGCTTTGTCCAGGGCTTCTTGGACAACCTGTTGACCGAACAACCCTTATGTCACAAATTGTACAAATGAGTTTTAACAGTAAAGGAAATCTAAGTATTTTTACCATCCATCCATCCAAAAAACAATTACCTTTCATTTCTTTTCTCATCTCTGAATCCTTAGCTTTATGCATGTGTTTTAACATAATCGACACTGCATGCAGTTATGTTCTTTATAATAAGAATGGACACTCACACGAAATCTTCACAAGTGTTCTAACTAGTCAGAAAATGATTTTACTTAACTTGTACGCTTTTGAGTATTTCCCAGTTTCCATTATTAATGTGCTAAAAATATGACTCATGCAGTTTTGACTTGAATGCTTTACTTTTTTTATTTATAAAATGTATATGTGAGCATTTTGGAAAATTTGGGAGATACTAGAAGGAATGAAATGAAAACATTCTACCTCAGACTATTTCCATTTGTTTAGTTTCTTCCCCATGCTTACATATTTTTTCCATGGTTGACTGCACAGAAGAATTAAATGGGACATGAGGTGGGAGGCTGTACCTTTTCACTTTCCGTATCCAGAGCAGATGTGGCTTCATCCAACAGCAGGATTCGAGGTTGTCGGATGAGGGCCCGGGCAATAGCAATCCTCTGTTTCTGACCTCCCGAAAGCTGAGTCCCCCTATCTCCCACTCTGGTCTCATACTTCTGCAAGTTAGCCATTAATAAAGTTAATAACATTCTAACCCAGAAAATCCTAATGGTATACTGAACAAACTCATACTTCTTAACATTTGACAGTTTTACTTACAAAAAAAAATATTTAGAATCAGTAAAAAGTTTCTGTAACAACTTCCAAGTTGCTCTTTTAACAGTTCATTTTCAAAATCAAACTAGAAAATTAGTGACTTTAGTTGTCAATGGTATTCTGCAACAACTTCACAAATTGCTATCATTATCAGAACGCCAGTAATGCCAGGCAATCTGCTGTCACTGAAGCCCTAGAATGGTTACATGTTCATGATTAAGGTTTAGCATTCTTAACTGGAAATATTCCTATGACCCACATGGAGCCTAGTGTTTTCTTTTTAAAGTTCATTTATTCGCTTAAATATTTACTCACTACGTATTAGGTCAGAACTGTGGGAAGCAGAAAAATGAATTCACCTTTGTTCTTACCGTGGAGGAATTTATAATTGAAAGAAAAAAAATCCAAATATGGTCGAGTATGGAATGAGTAGAAAAAGCAACATGCTGTGAAAGATCAGAAGAGGGAAATAGCAATTGCGTAGAAGAAAGGGGAGCTAAAGTGAAGAAAAGATACCTTTGTAGAGAAGTTGGGAAGCTGGATGTTGAGAGAACATTCTAGGCTGGAAAAGCAAATGCTGAATAAAGGCACAAATTGAGTCGGTTGAGTTTGCAGTGAACTGAATTCAGTGTATTGAATAAAGGCACAATATTTTTTAAATAGTCAGTTACAATGCGTCAACTTCTGGAGTACAGCATAATGTCCCAGTCATGCATACACATACATTCGTTTATAGTCGTTTTCTGTTTTTTTTTCATTAAAGGTTATTATGAGATAATACAGTTCCCTGGGCTATACAGAAGAAATTTGTTTTTTATCTGTTTTATATTATAGTAGTTAATATCTGCAAATCTCGAACTCTCAATTTATCCTTTCCCACTGCCTTACCCCTGGTGACCATAAGATTGTCTATGTCCGTGAGTCTGTTTGTTTTGTACATGAGTTCATTAGTGTCTTTTTTCTTTTTTTAGATTCCACATACGAGTGATGTCATATGGTATTTTTCTTTCTCTTTCTGGCTTACTTCACTTAATATGATAATCTCCACCTCCATCCATTTTGTTGCCAATGGCATTATTTTATTATTTCTTGTGGCTGAGTAGTATTCCATTGTATAAATACACCACAGCTTCTTTATTGAGTCATGTCAGTGGACATTTAGGTTGTTTGCATGTTTTGGTTATTATAAATAGTGCTGCTATGAACATTGTGGTGCATGTATCTTTTTGAATTAGAGTATCCTGTGGATATATGCCCAGAAGTAGGACTGCTGGATCATAGGGTAAGTCTATTTTAATTTTTTTGAGGAATCTCCATACTGTTTTCCATAATGGTTCCACCAAACTGCATTCTCACCAACAGTGTAGGAGGGTTCCTTTTTCTCCACAGCCTCTCCAGCATTTATTATTTGTGGACTTTTGAATGATGGCCATTCTGACCGGCATGAGGTGATAACCATACTGTAGTTTTGATTTGTATGTCTCTGATAATTAGTGATATTGAGCATTTTTTCATGTGCCTATTGGCCACTTACATGTCTTCATTGGAGAATTCCTTGTTTAGGTCTTCTGCCAATTTTTGGATTGAGTTATTGGGTTTTTTTTTTGTTGTTAAGTTGTATGAGCTGTTTATATATTCTGGGAATTAAGCCCTTGTCAGTCACATCACTTGCAAATATTTTCTCCCATTCTGTAGGTTGTCATTTTGTTTTGCTTATGGTTTCCTTTGCTGTGCAAAAGCTTATAAGTTTAATTAGGTCCCATTTGTGACTATGTGTTAAGGGTTGGTAAGCCTAACCAACTTGGAAGGTTTTCAGTTTTCTTTGTGAATGAGTGATTTCTAACTACAGCAGAATATGACAGTAAAAATAATTAAGCTCTACATGGGCTTAATCCGGTTGTACCTTAGATGCTGGATGAGAGCCACAAGATGAACAATCCTGCCATCAGTTTTAGGGATCTCAAGTCATCTTTCCAGGACTCCTCAGGTTGACCAGTCACTGAGAAAATTGTTTCACTGAACTCTTACCTTTGTTTTCAAATCCATATTGATTTCACTGCAATTTGGGTACAGTCGCAGCAGCTATAATGAGGCAATAAGGAGTGTTGGGGACCATGGAAATTGGAGAGTACAGGTCCTTTCCAAAGAAATTTAAAAAAAATTAAAGAAAAACAACCTTATAACAAAAAGAAAATTTTTAATGGAACATAGACTTCAACATAAAGCATAAATCATAAAATTTTTAGGAAAAAAATGGACAAAATCTTCAGGATCAAGGGCTAGACAGAGTTCTTAGACTTGATATCAAAGGCATAATCCAGCATATATTCAGGGGAAACTCTGATTTGAAAAGATAAGCACCCCAACATTCACAGCAGCACTATTTACAATAGCCAAGACATGGAGACAACCTAAATGTCCATCGATAGGTGACTGGATAAAGAAGTTGTCATATATCTATACAATGGAATACTACTCGGCCATAAAAAAGAAATAATGTCATTTGTAGTAACATGGATGGACCTAGAGATTATCATACTAAGTGAAGTAAGTCAGAAAAAGATGATAGAAGAATACCACTTATATGTGGATTCTAAAAAAATGACACAAATGAACTTATTAACAAAACAGAAACAGACTCACAAACATAGAAAACAAAGTTATGGTTACCAGTGGGGGAAGGCAGGGGAGGGATAAATTAGGAGTTTGGGATTGGCAGCTACTAACCACTATGTATGAAATAGGCAACAGGGTCCTACTGAATAGCACAGGGAACTATAGTCAATATCTTAAAATAACCTATAATGAAAAAGAGTGTGTGTGTGTGTAAATGAATCACTATGCTGTACACCAGAGGCTAACACAACATTGTGTATTGACTACTTCAATTAAAAAACAGTCTGTAAAAGGAAAAATTGATGAATCGGACCTCATCAGAATTAAAAACAGCCTTTGCAAAAGACTGTCAGAAGCATGAAAATATTTGCCAGCTGCATTCCCAACAAAGGGCCAATAACTAGAATATATAAAAACAGTAAAAAAAAAATCCAATTAGAAAATGGGCAAAAGATATGAAAAGATATTTCAAAGAGGAAATATAGAGAGCAAGTAAATATGTAAAAAGATGTCCAACCTCCTCTGCCATTAGAAATTGCAAATTAAACCCACACTAAGATATCACCATACCCCTATCAATGGTTAAAAAAAAAATAGTGGCAAAGATTCTGAGAAAATGTATTGCTCATACTTGCTGGTAGGAATGTAAAATGCAAAGCCACTCTGGCAAACAGTTTAGCAGTTTCTTCAAAAATTAAATATGCAGTTACCACTGGCCCAGCAACTGCACTCCTGGGCACTTATCACAGAGAAATAAAAACTAAGATTCCCACTAAAACCTGTATACCAATTTAGCAGCTTTATTCTTAAGAGCCAAAAACTGGAAACAACCTAGATGTGTTTCAACAGGTGAGTAATTCAACAAGCTGTGATCCATTCTTCCTCAGTAATAAAGGGGAATGAACCACACTTACACCCAACAGTTGCAGGGAATGCTGAGTGGTTGTAGGGAGCGAGGGCTGGGAGGAGGGGTGTGTGGCTATAAAAAGGCAACACGAAGGATCTTTGTGGTGATGTGAACGTTCCACAGCTTCACTGTGGTCTTGGATACACGACTGCACAGGCAATAGAATTGAACAGAATTAAATACACACGTATGCAAGTGCATGCAAGTGAAACTGGGGAAGTCTGAATAAGGGCTGTAATACTGTAATATTTTTGCAAGGTGTCATTAGAGGAAACGAGGTACAGGATACTAAGATCTCTGAATTCCTTACAACTGCAATGTGAACCTATCATTATCTCAAAATGTCTTACTAAAAAAGTACCACAAAGGGATAAAGCAAACATGGCCACAGTCTGAATGCAGCCCACAACCACCAGTTTGAGGAGACTTAATATCTCCTCGTTTGTTTCTCATGACATCTGTACCAGGTAGACATAGCAACTAATATTCCTCTTTACCAACAAGGAAACTTGGTATCATGGCGCTCAGTGTCTTGTCCGAAGCCGCAGTGCTAGTACTCAGACCAATTCTGTTACAAGACTGGGTTGGAGTGTAACTTCAGGAACTGTCTGAGAAGGAAGACAGTTTAGGGTTGATTCTGATTTCACCCTAGCAAGTCGCCAGTTCACTTACCTGGGGTAAGGTCTCGATGAAGGGGTGTATGTTGGCTGCTTCAGCCGCACTCACGATTTCAGCCATTGTCACAACCCGGCTGTTGTCTCCGTAGGCAATATTCTCGGCAATGCTGCAGTCAAACAGGATGGGCTCCTGGCACACGATTCCCAGTTGGGCTCTGAGCCACTGGATGTTGAGTGTCTTTGCATCTTGACCATCTAGGAGCTAAAAATCAAAGTCAACAAACTATAGGAAGGGCTTAAAAAAAAAAAACTGAACAGTAAGTTAAGCATTTAGGACTGTTGCATGCAGCCATCAGCTGTTTGTGAAATACCGAGCCTCACAGCCTGTAAGCTCTTACGTTGTTGGAGGCCAACACAAGGATTGTTACAGTGATTAGACCATCACTTTCTTGTTCTACCCGGCAAAATGGTAGCACATCTGGTCCAGTCTTTCTACATTACTCTCTTTGAACCTATCCACCCTCTCCAGACAAGCTACCATTCTCTGCCTTTAAGAAGTCCGCTGTTGCCCAATTGACTCCCTCTGTTTAACTTGACTTCATCCTCCTCCTCCAGGCATCCCAAGAAAATAAGCAGATTAGCAACATGGCCTCAGATTTTGAAAGCTGGTTACCTCCTGTACTATCTCCACCTCTTTCCCCTGAGAACTACCACCCTTGAACTTCTCTCCATTTCTCTGACAGCACTGAGGACAAGAGTTCAATGGAAAGTGGACAAGCTCAAAGGGCAGTATCTTCATCCTTGGAAGAATGGTTTTGTTGATGGGCATTTTGATTATTTTGTGTTTGCTGTAAGCAGGAGGCATGACGCTTCTAGAGGAGCCTTGTGAGGTGCGAAGTGAGAATACAGCTCCAGCCAGGCAAAGGTCATGGGTGAAGCAACAGACAGCAAGAAGTCCAACTAGTTCTGGCCTCTCGATAAAGAAAGAAATTCCCCCCCTTGCATTAGCACAGCACATCTACAGTGTTGCTGAGCTGGTTTGCCTATATTCAGACCTTCAGAGTAATTGTCATAGTGGAAGCAGATTTTGTCCAAAGAAGAAACAAGGTTTAATCCTCTAGTGACTGTCTCAGTGGGGGTGGGCTCCCTGAGCTAGGTCAGTGGGTACCATCCCAAGGTAATAAGAGATGCGGGCATTATCGGCAAGAGCCACGTCTTCACTCATGGAAGACAGCCAGGGGCCAGACGTTACAGAATCAGTGCTGGAAGGCAAACAGGAGAGGGCTGGAGGGAACGATCAGAGAGAGCCTCGAGTTCAGGGTTAGAAAAGGCAAAGTGGGAGGAGGAGGGAAAGAGTCCTGGAACCTACTCAGAACTTAGGTAGGAGTTTGTCACTTCCCTTATTAATCCAGGAGGCAAGTGAAGGTTCACCTAGGAGGATCAGGTGGACTCAGAGGATCAGGCAGGGTAGAGATCAACTTCATATTCAGTATTTTCTGAACTACATTCAATTTCAGATGTTCTACCCTCCTGTCCCCAAGTATTATCTGACTGTGGGTGCCAGTGTAGGGTTTAGAGAATGGTCATTGTACCAATTCAGATTGTAGGGCTTGTCCAGATGTTTTTCATCATGGGAAGGAAGACTGGTTTAGCCACTTGAAATATTGCCTTAAATCAGGTGACTAATTGAACAAACTGTGCTCACCACTTTCCCAGCCAAGGGGTCGTAGAACCGCTCCAGGAGCTGGACCACCGTGCTCTTCCCACAGCCGCTGCTGCCCACCAGGGCCAGGGTCTGGCCCTTCTTCACCTCAAGGCTCAGCCCCTGAAGCACAGGCACGTTGGGCCGGGTGGGATAATTGAACACAACTTCATGAAGTGTTACGTTTCCTTCAAACTTATCCTAAAAAGAAAAAATATATATACACACACACACACACATATTTATATGTATTTATGTTGCTAGTATAATTGGTCTGATAATTACTGGAATAAAAAGTATAATTGCAAGGCAACCTTCCCAAACACTACAGTAGGGAAACAGAAAATTCATGTTCAGTCCAAGTACCAGCACCAGTTACTACTGGTAGCAAGTTGTTATATAAAATTAAGATGGGAGCAGGGGTACAGGGTAGATTAACAGAGTTGTTATCTGAACTCGATTTCCGGTTCATTGAAGACAAATATGTCACTTTCCCAACTGATGATTCTGAGGCTGGAGCCAAGTCAATGGTTAAAGGCTCAAGGGCTGGGGCATTCGGGGCAGTTTCCAACTGCAGTCCCAGTGGGCAGCCCCATTCCCAGCCCCGGCAGCTTCTCTGTCTCTCTCTAGCTCACTCACTGGGCAAAGCAATTTTCTCAGAACATGACATTCCCAGTCAAGTCCCGAAAAGGCTGTGTTAAGTCCCCATCTCTTTACCCACGCTGCCTCCTGTGCGTTAAAATGTGCAGCGGCTTGGGTTGTGCACAGAACACCAAGGGCACGCAGATCTAAGCTGATGATAGTCAAGTACAGGCTGATTCCTCCTGCTCTGAATAAAATGTGATTAAAACCAAAGAGCTAATGCAGTTACATACAGAATTCTGGGCACATACCGTTCAGGCAGAAACGACTTACCACTGGCATGGAAATTATTCAGTTCTAGTACCTCTGGATTTGGTGTTTGTCTTTTGGTTTTTTTACTTTTTGATGTGCTCAACTTCAGAATCCTTGCAACCCCCTATGAAATTTTAAAGGGCCAGGAAAATTGGCCAAATTTATCAGCCTTGTAAGTATCACAGATCTAGCTAAGTAAACGTCAGTGTGGTCACTACGAATTTGTCCCCTAGTTACAATCTAGCAGACGGCACACCTTTAGGGAAAAATTAACCAAATGCTCATCAGACAGCAGGGAACTCACGGGCCTCAGGCCATCCTCACTGTCGCTGTCAATCAATGGTTGTCTTTCAAACAGCCTAAATAAGCAGGCTGCAGACAGCTTGGCTTGGGCATAATCTGGAGCAAAGGAACTCGCGTGTCCTAGAGCCACGGCGCCAAGCACGATTGCTGAAAACACCCTAGATGGAAGATAAGCAATTAAAAAAATTAGCTCATATAATCAGCTCCATGATGGTTCAAAGTCCAAAGACACTGCTTACCAGTTGATGTCTTCACTCCCTCAGCCATCTGCCCTACCCATCCCACACATATTTCCACCAAATTCCAGGACCAAAGGAAAACTGGAGGAGAGGCCGGACCCACTGCCTGAGGGTTTCCTTTTCCTCTACTGCCTCCTGGCTTCCTTCAGAGTTTTCTAGAGTTAATGTAACTGTCAAGTTCTCTCGGGAAGCAGCTGATAGCTGAACCTGATTTGTGATCACAAGTAACTTCAGTAACTAGATACATGCCCTGTTTAGAGCTGAGGAACTGAAGCACAGGGAACTGATGGGATGTGATCAGTCCCAGACAAGGAGTGCACTTTCCTACTGACTGGATGGCTCTGACCTGTCTGCTTTCTTCTGCCCTCCCACACCAACAACAGTCATCATCACCGCGCTCACAGAATTCTTATCAGGGAAAATAAGGCTTCACTACAAATAGCTTCTCTCTTACAGGTAAAATAACTATCAATACCACCCTGAAAAAGCAACTGTCTTAAGCTAAAGGTCTGTTCTCCAATTACATGCTCTTTAAAGAATAGCTATAGTTCATAACTTTTAGGCAGAACTAAAGACTCGGAGACCTACACCCCCACAAAGCTATTTGCTTCTAGCACCAGAGCGCCCCAGAGAAAGGGGTGGGCAGGAAAATCTCTAGTAATAATGGAGAACTTAAAAAAAAAGTCCCCAAACTTCTAAATCTAAGATATTAAAATGTGTGTTAGGTACACAGGAGTGGGGACAGTGGGTAGAGTAAGGCTCTCCCCTAAACACTTGATAAGGCTGGGTACCAAAACCCAAAGTTGAAAAGAGTGATGAAAACCCACATGGAGCTGCCTAGCCTTCCCAGACAGCCGGTAATGCAGTTTTAGTATGAAAGATTTAAAAGCACTCTTCCGACTACCCATAAAACTGTTTCTTTTTCCATTAAAGTATTTTTCTAGACAGTAAAGTGCTCCAAGTTGTAATTCCCAGCTGGATGTTTCCAATTGTTTGTCCAAAACCACTCTCTACTCTCCACCCGGCTCTATCCTGCACCATCCTCCTCCGTGCCCGAGAGGCTGACCTTCAAGGTCTGCAGAAGAAGGTTTTCTTGTCCTCTGGCTCCCCACGGAGTTTGGCAATGAGCAGCAGAGCAGGGGATGGGGGCTGGAGGAGAGTGGGGCCAGGGCATTTGTTCTGTTGGCCTCTTTCTTGTTGGAGGGTTGGTGTCCCTCCACAAAAGACCGCAGAAGGCCCTCCTCCCCTTCTGTTGCCCTTTAGGCTTAAGTAAGGTCTTAGCGGGCACTGCTAAGTTCCTAGCTGGTTCCCAGCCAGTTCCTAGCTGGGCACTGCTGACCGTACTTAGCACTTCTCACATCTTGGTAAACAGACTCTTAAGCAAAATCTCCTCCGTTTGCATGGCCATTTGTTTCCTGCTGGAATCCTGCTTGCTGCAAAGATTATATATTCTTTTTTCATGGTTATTTTAATTTTGGATGGGAACAAATGAATAGCTCTTTGTCTGTCTTGACCCTGCTTTAAAAAAAAAGAAAGGTTGCCTGCTACTGCTCTAAAATCATCCCATCAGAGCAGAAACATGCCAAGCGATCTTGAAAAGAATGGCTTCCCTTTGGCAAGACTGGACTACAACCTAATTGAATGTAGTTAGTATAATTTGAGAAGAATTCATCAATTAGAAAGGCCATTGATTAGCCTTGGAAACCAAGAAAACTGGAAAGGCTAAGAGGCAAAAGTAGACAGGGTCACCCCAGGTCTGGTTAGGGAAGACAGCTTTTTCCAGACTTCAGTCAAGCATTCTCACCTCACTGTTAAGGCTACCTTTGGTTGCAGATAAATAATAAGCTATTTTAACCCTTTGTTTTGGGTCCATAGGCACCAGCAATTTTCAAATTATGATTTGTTTCTGCACTGAGAACATTCATTGTCCTCCTGACTGGACTTCTATGTATTACTAAAATTCTGGTTTATGAACATTTTCATGAGCTTGGTTAATTTCAGACCACTTAGATAATCCAACTGTCCTTGGAACACTAACCACATCAGATTTCTGTCGTACATTCAACTCTGTGACCTCATCTTAAAACCAGTGAGTTTTTTTGGTCTACTCCAAACTTTGGCATAGACCTAGTGAAACCTCACGATAGAATAATCTCAATATATTAAAAGTTACTTACAGAATAACGTCTCTGAAGCGCATGTGTCCATTCACAATGAGATAGGCACCAAATCGAAAACAACCGGCATAGGTAAAATACATAAATGCTTGTGAAATACTAAAAGTAATTCCATAGATGTGTGCCTTTCGCACAGAATTCCTGTAAAGCAAATGAGTATAATATGTAACCATCTCTTCAGCCTCTCTCAGCCCTGTGTCATGCAAAGGGCTCAGCTTCTAAGTCTAGTCAACCTACATTTAAATTCTGCCTTCAATTATAATTAATTGGAGTAAGTGATTTAACCTCTCTACATACCAGTTTTCTGGTTGGTAAGATGGGAATGATCAGTATGATGTAGGATTGTTTTGAGAACTAAACATACAATACAAATGTCTAGCACAGTGCCCAGCTTACAGTGGTTGCTCAAATGACAGTGACTGTTATTACTACATGTGATTATCTGACAACTCAGATAGTCAACTCTTACGCTGCAAACATGATTACCGTGTCAAAACAAAGATGTCAAAGTTAGGACTAAAGTTTGAGTTGTCTAAATGTGACTTCTTTAATATTATTACCTGTCTTCTGTGATTAGTTAGTCTCATGTCCAAGTTCACATTTTGGAGGGATGGGTACAGCTCAGGGGTAGAGCACTTGCTTAGCATGCACGAGGTCCTGGGTTTAATCCCCAGTACCTCCATTAAAAAAAAAACAACACATTTCAGATTCAGGAAAATAGGGTAACTAAGGTTTATTTAGACACACATCAGAAGTTCTTCCCAAAGCTAGATCCCACCAGCCCCCAGTACAATTTGTTTTGCACCATTTCTCATTAGAGCTCATGCTATCCTTTATTAGTTTAATTACGTTGTTATACTTGTCATTCTAAACCCTCCAAAAGAACAATAACTTATTTGCTCCCAGATAAGAAGGAAGGTATCTGGCAAGAGGGACAATGTGAAGTATTACTGATTTGGACAGTTTACCTTACGTGCTGTGAGCCTGGTGTCATTACACTTACCATTCCTGAACAATTTACAGTGCTACTGACAGATACGTGTCAAACACCGAATGGACAGACAAAGGCAGCTGCATGAAGTACACCTCACAAAGGAGATGGTTGCACTGAGAATTTCCACTATCCTTGTTCAAATGTATAAGTGCTCTAAACTATTGTTCTAGTCTACAAAGTGGTCACTTAAGTTGTATTCAATTTTGTTAGTGTTAAAATATATTCATTTATAGAAACAGGCCCTGGTTGGAAACAAGTGGCAAACAGGTGCTGGGGGTTTGTTGAACTGTACAACTAGGAAGAAGTGAAATATGCTACGTATCTTTGTTTTCAGAGTGCAATGGATCTGGTCCTCAATCCAGAAAACAAAGGGAATACTGTAATCAGGTAACACATCTCACCTTTAGTTCAGTCTACGTACTCCAAAGAGAATAAAGGTTTGAGTAACTCCCTAACAGAATAGTTTATCCTGAGGCACCCAGATGAGTCACTGGTGTTGCCTGCATTGGCGAAACACATACTCTTGGAGACCCAATCCGACTGTTTTTACAAGAGATGTAAAAATCCAATTCTGTGGTCCAGCTGCCTCAAAAAGTTACTTATTTTCAGTGAGATAATTATTGGGAAAAAAAAGTCACCCTTACAGTCATATCAGTGTTTGCAGCAGCAACAAAAACCGGAAACAATAATTCAGCCCAAGAAAACACTAAGTTCTTAGTAACGATCATGTGCTCGTTACCTGTAAGCTCCGTAAAGTTTCTCGGCATACATTGATTCAAAATTTCTCTCCTGGGTCAAGGACACAACTGTAGTAATATTTTCTATTGCCTCTGTTGCAATCTGTAATATACAACAGATCTTGATTAGAAGTAGGGCTTTTTGCAGCAACATGGATGGACCTAGAGATGGTCATACTAAGTGAAGTATGTCACACAGAGAAAAGCAAATATCATATTTTATCACTTTTATGTGGAATCTAAAAAAAATGATAGAAATGAACTTATTTACAAAACAGAAAGAGACTCACGGACATAGAAAACAAACTTATGGTTAGCAAAGGGGAAAGGTGGGGGATAAAGTAGGATTGGGGATTAGCTGATACAAACTACTATACATAAAACAGACCACAAGGTCCTACTCCACAGCACAGGGAACTATATTAAATATCTTGTAATAACCTATAATGAAAAAGGATATGAAAAGAGTATATATGTACAACTGAATCACTATGCTGTACACCAGAAACTAACACAACATTGTAAATCAATTATATGTCAATTAAAAAAAAAGAACAAAATGGAAAAAAAAAGAAGTGGGGCTTTTACTTCTGAAGTAATAATTTTAAAAAAGTATAAGACTTAGGGCTCTGTTGAAAGAATCCTGAAGGTTATGTTGATGGGTTTTCAGTTCCTTCAGTCTGGAAAGCAAAGGCATAACCTGTTCCTGAGGACAAGCTCTCTGAAAAACCCTTAAAAGCACTTCTGGTTGTGCTAAATACGGTGGCAAGTCTCCCTCTGCCCAGGGAGACTGAGCAGCTTGGGGTGTGAATGGTGGCCTGGGCACCAGAAGCCTGATTCTGTTCCCAGCCCTGCCACCAGGCAGGGACATGACTGGCTTTAGTCAGACCCCTTCGTGGCTTTGCTCTCTTCATAGGTTAAGAGCCTAGAAGAGAGAACTGGCTTCTATCTTTATTATAAATGAACATCTAACAGTAATAATAGCCAGAACAGAGAATACTTCCCGGGCTTTTACTGTGTGCCAGGCACTAGCTCACTTAACTGACATGATGTCATCTCGCCTCACGACAAACCCTGTGAGGTGCGGGTGGTTATTCCTATTTGCACAGGTGAGGAACTGAGGCAGGGAGATGTTAAAGGACCTGCCCAGAGCTGTCTATCAGGCTCTCTGATGCCAAGTCCACGTTCTTAACCCATGATGCTCTTCTGCTTCCCTGACTTCACAATTTACACAAGGAGAAAGTAGTTGTTAGGACTTTACACGCAACTCTGGATTTTCTGGTTATGGGTTAAGCGCTCAGAGGGTTAATTCTGGTTCAGCAGGCCCCTAATCTCAGTAATTAGGCAGGGCCTGAGTCAAGAGGGTTACTGTGTGGCCCCTCCTCCTCTTCCCAGCCAAGCCTTCAGCACCCTCTTTACCAAGCCCTTTCTGGAAGATAGTAACAGGGAGGATCCCAAATCCTAATGCTCTTAAACTATGATTAATCTGCACCCAGATGAATGAGAACCTTTTTTTTCGATGTGGGTTTGGTTGCCAACCATTTTGGGTTGGTCAAGAGTTGACTGAGTATTAAACATAGGACAAGACCACAAATCTCCTAGAAGAGAACACAGGAAAAACATTCTCTGACATAAATCTTAGCAATGTTCTCCTAGGGCAGTGTACTCAGGCAATAGAGTAAAAGCAAAAATAAACAAATGGGACCTAATTTAACTTATAAGCTTTTGCACAGTAAAGGAAACCATAAGCAAAACAAAGAGACAACCTCTGGAATGGAAGAAAATATTGGTAAAAGATGAGACTGACAAGGGCTTAATTTTCAGAATATATAAACAACTCATTCAACTCAATAACATAAAAAATAAACAACCCAATCAAAAAAACGAAGAGAAGACCTAAACAGACATTTCTCCAATGAAGACATACAGGTGGTCAACAGGCATATGAAAAGATCCCCATCATTACTAATTACCAGAGAAATGCAAATCAAAACTACAACAAGCTATCACCTCACACATGTTAGAATGACCATCATTAAAAAGTCCACAAACGATAAATGCTGGAGAGGGTGTGGAGAAAAGGGAAACGTCCTACATTGTTGGTGGGAATGCAGTTTGGGAAACTGTATGGAGATTCCTTAAAAAAAACTAAAAACAGACTTACCATATTATCCAGCAATCCCACTCCTGGGCATATATCAGGAGGAAAGTCCAGTTTGAAAAGATACATGCACCGCACTGTTCATAGCAGCACTATTTATATTAGTCAAGACATGGAAACAACCTCAGTGTCACCCCGCACATGCCACACATCTGGAGCAAGTCACTCAACTTCTGACGGCTTTGGTGTCCATGCGGGGGAGACACATCTGCCTCACCTCAAGTAACTGTATTAAAGCCAGATGCAGTCATGTTTGTCAAAGGGCTTTGTAAGTGTGTGCTGTAGGAATTCTATCACAATTTATATTCATTATGTGATTCACCTCCTGGTGTCTCAAAAAGGATAATAATTGCATAAATAAGGGTAAAAAAAATCTCCTGGCTGTAATCTACATTTAAACATTTAAATACACGTACATGTAAGTAAAATGTTTATATGTAGATTTAAAAGAGGCCATAGAGTAAAAAAAACTTGGAAATTAGACCAGGACTTGAATGCCAGACATGCCTTTAAGTTGTTTGATTCTGAGGCTCCGCATTTGTAAAATTGGAGTAACATCAGTACCTGCCTCACAGGACTATTGTGAGGATGAGCCGGTGCATCTAAGTACTTAGAACAGCAACTGGCACAAAGTGAGGCCCAAGTGTGTGCCCTACTGCCATTACAGTTACCACCACAAACAGGAGCATTAATGCCACCTGGTGGCTCCCTAGCTTCATTACAGAAATCACAGCCAAGGAAAACAACTGTCTTAAGTACTGGCAAACGTCCTACTTTGAACAATTTACTTATAATTCTCTGCCTTAAGGGCTCTTCATTGGTAAACAGGGGTAACTTTTGTCCTATCAATGGCATCAGTATATGAAGTAAAAGGTAAAATGAACTTTGAAAATTCAGAAATTTTTAATAACCACGTGAAAAGCACTTTCTATAGGCTAAAAATCTTAATTATCCTATTTTCAAGTTCTTGGCATTGACACAGTAAAATATTTCAATCATAGTGTTGACAATAATTAGTTGTAGTGAGCACAAACATTATTAAAACATGCATGTTGTAATACATCAATCAGATAAACACATGTCTAAAAACCATACTTAGCCTAGCTGTAGCCTTCTTTGACCCACCTTTCCAGCTGTTTCCAGCTCTTTTTGATCTCTTTTGGCATTTCCAGCCAGCAATTTCATTTCAACAATTCCTGAGACAGCAATAACGGGAACAACCGATAGCAGCAAAAGGGTTAACTGCCAACCGTAGACAAATGATATGATAATCCCAGTTCCAAGGTTAGCTGTATTCTGCGCAATTAAAGCCAACCTGGTCCCGGTGGCCTGGAAGAACAAAAGAAGAGAGAAGTCGTGTTTTAAGTGCAAATCCATGAGCTGCAGCCTTCGGATTCCTGGCCAAAGCGTCAAGAGAGGGTTTTGTGCCTGCACTAACATGTAATAAACCCAAGACACCTGTGCGTAACTCAGGAGGCTCTGCAGGTTTTTCTTTGTTCGTGCCTTTCAAATCTCATTCCTCTCCTACCCAACACGAATTCAGCATTGTAAAGCCCAGGAGTCAGCAGCTCTGCTTTGGGGCTAGACTGTGGACTTTTTCATGAAGGCAACATGGAAAGAGGAAACTAATGCCGGGCACTCTGGGTATTTTAAAGCCTGTTCACTTCAAATGTGTAAGAGAGAGATTCACGAGCTCCAAGAGACCATCTGTCACAAAGGTTACATCTCCTAAGAGACCAACCGCTATAAAGCATACATAAAGATGAAAGACTAAAATTCGTACCGCTCAGAAAACGAGGGATGCCATAGGGACGTGCCAGGTGCCTCTCCTGCGCTGCGTAGAAGCAGTGAGCTTCATGGCAACAGACCTCAGCGTCAGGGCTGGGGCGTAAGCCAGGGAGAGCGCGGCATTCCCCAGAGACAGTTATCGGGTCTGGGTTGGGCATGTGACCCAAATTAGCCTAAATTAGATTTAAAGGCAGGGTGTTTGGTGGTTGAGGTCCAGGTGTGCGCTCTCTTTCAGTGGATGGGAAACAAGGAAGCTTGTAGCTCTGGTTGCTACTAGCATCCACCCTCTGGCCATGAGGGAACAAAACTTAGGATGAAGCCAACCCTGAGACTGAAAGCCACTCAGAGCCACACAAAGGGAGGGCACCTGGGTCCTTCGGGACATTTTTGAGCCAGTGGATCAATTCACACTTCAGTCTAAACTTTCCTCGTTTAGGCCAGTTTGAGTTGAGGTTTCTGTTATTTGCAGCTGAAGGCAGCTTAATGGTTGCAGCTATGCCGTATGTTTATTCAAAGCCATGTTCAAGAAAACGGTAGTAGAGCGTGGTCTACATACTCCTTGGACTTGGGAGGCATCTGCAGCAAGTCTTGTAGAAAGCGTACCGGTACTGTTTTTATGATCATCAAACCAGCTCATGTCCTGTGGCACAAAATACACCTTTAATTTAGTTTCAGGTTAAAACACAATAAGCAAAGAAAGTCAGATGGCATCTCCCAAACCTTCAGTGCTAAGGAAATACCTGCACTGAACCTGGGTGTTGGAGTTTAGGGGACCTTGCGTGCAGTGCGGAGCCCTGGTCCCTGCCCTGAGCACACAGCCTCAGAGCCTACCGGTTCCCCGGGCCCCGGCTGCTCTAATGTAATGAGAGAAAACACTGGTGGGGTGGCGGGCCTTATCCAGATTGCAGCCGTGCACCCTGCCAGCTCCGCCTGAGGTTGTGGGTGCCTGTAGTTGGTCCGTCACCCTGTCCTCACAGCTTGTACTACGGACACTTCTTCCTGGGTGCGGTGGTGTCTCTCACAAAAGAGGGTGGAGCTGGGCTGGACACAGCTCTTTGTTATAAATTCTAAACATGAGATCATCAGCCCTGGTTTCTTACCATGTTTTTGTTTTCTTTTAAACCAGGATTAAAATAGTCTATCTTACGTACAATTTTAATTATAAGAAACTCATCCACAGCATCTTTTCATTTCATAAAAAATAACTTTCCCTACAAAGCCATAATTTAAAAAAAACATTGAAAAAAGGTTTGCAAACTCAAACTTGATAAAAATGTGCTCTTTTGTCAACAGGACTGGAATCAATTCCTGTCAATTAGATGAGTAATATTCTGGCCCTCTCTTAAGCCTTCTCTATAAAAATAGAGAATTCATATTAGCACGTTTTCCCACATGCCCTGCATTAGGCTGTGAACTCCCCAAGAGGGCAGATAATGCATTTTATAGTCCCACCTCCCAGCACACTATCTGGTATACAGTGGGTAACGACTGAGTAAATTAACAAGTGAATGTGAAAGCAGAGCTCCAATGAAACTCAATTACCAACATTTGGTAAAACCTATAGTGAGTATGGTCAATTCTGAGACAGAACTACTGCCAACTACCCCTTCCTTTGTTTAAAGCATCCTGGAGACTCACCAGGGCCTGTGCAGAATCCAGAGAGGAGATACAGGTCCTTGAAATATATGTATCCTCATGGTGGATAGAGAGAGTTGCAAAATAAGCCCCCCAATTGAGCCTACTCTCATGAAAACCCTGCAAGGTCTTTGGATACTGAGGACCAGGACAATGTGCAGGGCCCTGATCTGTCCTCAGATGAGCACCCAGGACCCACGACACGGACGCAGCACACCAGTAAGAACAGGAAGAGGCTTGAAATGAAAGAAACACTTCAGTGCGCACACTCACCTGTCTCAGCATTGCTTTAAAAGCCATTGATCGAAGCCGTGTGGTGAGGATCTCGCCAGCTTTTCCAAATGTGAAGCCCTGGTCGAGAAGAGAAGCTTTTGTTCCTTTAGATCGTCACAAGCATTCTGACACCAGTGAGTGTACTGTATTACTTCTATATTAATCAACTATCCAAATAACGAAGTCTAGAACCAAGTATGAATTCAAAGTCCCAACTTAAGATTCATGTCCTGCCTAATCATTAGTGTCATAAAACCCCAAACCTTAGAAGTGTCCAGTTCTGGCTTCTGAACCATTCTACACAGGCTTCCTTTTCAAAACTTGCAAGGACGACATCCCAGTGAGAACAATACAGTACTTGATCGCAACTTTCACTGTGTTTTTAATACTTAAAGCAAAAAGGTCTCAAAAAGAAGTAACAAAATTTTATGCCAAATTCTATTCTATGTCGTGTAGGGTAGGGTAGCAGGAAGGAGGAGGTCTGTAGTATTGGGCTCCGCGTGAGTTCACTGCCTCCCCATCACAGCTCTGCCTGCTCTCAGATTAGGGAACAATTAGGTTACTCTTTCTCCCCCAGCATCCTTGCCAGACACTTTTTCTCCTTCTAATCACACCAAGTGCAAACTGGAAAGCAGCCCTGATGTGCACAGCTGGGCTTGCTTCTGTGGCACTCGGGATGGGTGGGAGCCTCCAGCCACACCGAATGTCAGTGTAGGCAGCGGGTTGCAAGCGGAGGGTGCACTCTGGGGAAGGATACATCCCAAGTGGTCAGTGCCCAGGGCGAGTCTGCCCCAGGGGTCCAGGCTTAGACCGCCCCGGTTTCCTCCCGCCTTTGCCAGCAGATAGCTCACGGCCCACGTGGGCACCACAGTTCCATCCATCAGCCCACTGTTTGTGCAGCCCGTGTGTATAACGAGCTCCACTCCCTAACACACCAGGGCCTGCGGCTGGGTCAGATCACTGAGTTGCCACCAGCAAGGTAATGCTTCCTAAATAGAGAGCTTGGCTCCCTATGACCATTGGTTCAACAACAATAATAGAGAAGCACGCTGGGCATGACCAGCAAATATCACTTTGTGGACTTAATGGATTGTCCTGGAAAAGCCTGTGTGGTGCTCACTGAATTAAAGAGACAAAAGAAATGTGATGGAAGTCTAGGTAGAAAAGTACTCAGAACAAGGTTTACTAGTTCATTTCTGGCCATGTGTACATACCTAAATGCAATATAATGTGCATTCTTTCAAATAGTTTGTCAATTAGGGAAGAATGGATCAGAGAAGTTCCTTGATGTTATGCAAAGAGTAATAAAAAGAGAATGCTACTGTACTGATATTTTCCCCCAGTTTCTAACTAGTTAAATTTAACTGGTAGGCATGTTGGCCTGTGAATTCAAGTCTCTTTTTGTCTCAGTAATAAACGTTTGCCAAGGGTAGACCTGTATGTAATCTGATGTAATTTAGCACACAGGGAAGGCACAAGTCCTCCCTCTTAGGACCCTGGCCTCTATAAGAGACTTGTGCCAACTGTGTTTGCAATTCATTTCTGTCTAAAATTTGGAAGCTCCAGGTTCCAAAAACTAAAGTTTTGACTGGCTTTTGATTAATCGATAATTAGTCTATATTAATAGATAATCAGTAAAAAAAAATCTAATGAATCGATAATCTATATTCTCTAACTGAATGTAGACTCGATGAGAAGATCGAATCATAGGCACTTACCTGAAGGAAGAAAGTGAAAAAAGAAATAATTCCCAGACCTAAGAAAAGCAGTGAGAACATGTTGCATTTCTGCTGCTTCACTTCATCATCTCCTGGCTCAAAAATCTACAACAGAGCATTTAAAATACCCACTCGGATTACATGAGGCATGCTTGTTCCTCTCACAAACAATAGCTTTTTAAAAACTAGATTTGAATATTGGTTTTATTTTATTGTGGTGAAATTTAAATAACAGAAAAATAGTTAACTGGTAGATTTTTAAGTGTACAATTCAGTGCTGTGCTATCTTCATGACCATCCACCTCCAGAACCTGTCATCATCCCTGACTGCAACTCTGTACCCATGAAACAGGACCACCCCTAAGCCCTCCCCCAGCCCTCTGGGAGCCACTGTTCTCCTTTCTCAATGAATTCGAGGAGTACGTGGTGGTTAACAAGGGTTGAAACACTATACGTGGATTGTGTGTGGTTGCACCTCTTAGCGTTTGTTCCTCTTCCTCTGCATTTGCTGCTCCCTCTGCCTGAAACTTCTGCCTGCCCCCTGCCGGCCCCCCAGCCCTCACTCCACAGGGCCTCTGCCCAGGGAGACCTCCTCTGACCCACCCACACGAAGCAGCACCCCCATCTCTGGCTCCTCTATGGCCTGATTTGGCTTTTAAACCACTTGCTGTCCCATGACATGTTATGTATTTGTTTTTTCTTTGTGTGTTGTGTGTCTGTCCCAAAAGAAGGGAAACTCCTGAGGGCATGACTTGATTTATTTTTGTATCCAGCTCTGTCTCCAGTGGCCAGAGCAGCATTTAACATAAAGGAGATGCCCCAAAACCGAAACACAATCCACACAGTTCTTGAATTGCAAGAGAGCCAGGGATGGCTTTACTTTGGAATTTAAAAACAGCTGGAGGGTTCTTTCTAATTTATTTATGTTTTAGCTTGTGGTCTTAATTGTAGATCAATGTTCAAAGTCATAAGCATAATAAACTTCTTACATGAGATGAATAATCAAAAAATTAAAAAAGAGAATAATGAAATTATTCTCTGATGGAGAACAGTTCATCTTTCAGAAAAATGTCTCTCCGATAATATTAGAGGTTGAGTAAGATTATAAAGTATAAATGCTGGATTTTACAAAGCCTTAGATATTTCTGATAACTTCTGGTGAATATATCCCCCAGTGAACTTGACGACTGGATAGTCTGAGTCTGAGTTTTTCTTCTTAGTCTCAGCCTCCCCACGGCCTGTAAGGCTTGGTAAACAGTGATGGAGTAGCTAGCACTTTTTGAAGACTTACTTGGAGGCAGACACTCTTAAATGTTCTCTGCATGGTTACCTATATAGTCTCTTTTAATCTTCACCCATAGGACAGAGGTTTATTTTACAGATGAAGAAACTGAGGTACAAGCAAGAGAAAGCATCTTGCCCTAGGTTTGCATGGCAATTAAGTGGTGAGGAGGGTCTGTGCCCAGAGCCTGGCCTCTTCAACACTGAGACTTGAACTCTTCCCCCCAACACCACCCCCTGCCCCCGGCCATCCTGAGACACAGGCACCTCGTCTCCACTAACGAGATGGGGGTCATTGCCTGACATCAATTCACCCAAATGAAGAGAGGGAATTCGAATGCCTCCTTGGCAGATTTTACAGTGTACCATCTCATTAAGAGCATAACTTAGAATGGTTCAAAAGGTTTTCTTCTGCCTCACAGTTGTCGTCAAAAGTGAATTAAAACCTTTGGCTTCGTTTAATTTGGGGCTGCTTTACTCCAAAGTGGACCCAGTGGTGAGGTTGGCCTGGGAACTGATTTAGTGCTGAACTGACTCAACTCCAGCTGTCCGGTGCTGCTTTTGGACTCACGGCTATCATCTCATAGAAGATGATGGAGAAGGCAGGCTGGAGGGCTCCGTTGGCAATAGCACACAGTGTTCCCACCACGAGGTAGGGCCATTCCGTCTTATTCAGTTGCAGGATCTTCAGAAAAGACGCTGGTGGCACATCTTCATCCTGGAACATACACACATCAGGACAAACAGGATAACACAACAGTCACCAGAGTTGGACACAGAGAAGGTCTGGCATTGCTCATAAGAAACTTGCAAAGTAAGTGCAGAGAAAAACCTGGCTACAGCAACTACTAGAGGGTTGGACAGGATGTTATAAAATATTAACAACATCTACTGATGCCACAGCAGGAGCTGAATATGAGTCCTTCACCTGAGAAGCAATCTTCATGGTGTGACCAGCCCATCTCTATTCCAGCCTCAGCAGAATGAGCAGCAGCAGGATCTGGGCACAAAATGCCCTAGAATTCAAGTCCCAGCTTGGCTCCAGGATGATGTTGGGGTCAAATAAGACGAGACCAGTGAGCAGACAGATAAGTGCCCTCATCAATGTACAGTGCTATGATTAACCTGAGAATTGGAGCCTGGTCTCCTCACCCTGGAACCCTGCCCAGGGCTGCCTTTTCTGTGACATGTTCTCAACTCACAAGACCAAAGTAATTATGCCCTTTTTCTTTTACCACGCTTCCCTGTGCTGACTTCTCCTATTTCATAGCTTAGCTTGTTTTGTGATTCCCCCCTCCTATTTATTTGTTTACATGTCTTGCTGAATTTTTTTTTAAGATGAAGACGATTTCTTTACATCACTAGAAATAGCCCAATGCCTGGAACATATCAGGTTCTCAGCAAATGTTGAACTCACTCTCTGGTCAAGCATGCAGCATTGAGGTCACAGAAAGGAGAATATTCTGACTGTAGAGGTGGTTTAGCATTAAACTAGATACAAAAGGTGCCTATGGAATCCCACAGCCTTACGGTTGTTTAAATAGGTCACATTTGTGTCACTGTGATACAGAAACCCTAAACAAAGGTTGCACTTGGCCCTCTTCTTTCAAATCACCCATTTTCTCTGCATTTTAGGGTTCTTTCCCCCTCCTTAGATAACATTATCTTTAAGTCCTGGTCTCCAGCCTGATCAGTGAGCCTGTTCCTCAGCCTGCTGTTCAACACACACCAACAGGTCTTCCTAGCTTCCTCTAACCAGACTTCATCTCCCCGCTCCCTGGGCACGCTTTTTATCCCTCTGTGACGGCACTTACGACAACCTTGTCATTTGGCATTTTCTGCCTTCCCCTCTTCTCTGTGCTCTTCTCCAAGAGAAGTGCTCCTCTAAAATACCAGACTCTCAAGATTTAGCACTGTAACTCTCAAGATAAACGAGAAAATGAGAAGCCAATATTTACATAGCCAAAAAGGGGGCCACTGTTTATCTTATGATAATTTGGCTCCACAATAATACAGTTGCTATTCTTCGCTTCATCAATATACCAAGACTGAGCTCTCTAGGAGAACCCCTGTAATTTCTGCAGGAAATAACACTGTGGGCAGAGAAAAACATATGCAATGAACTCTCTGTAGGATTAGTTTCTTCAGGCCAACACAAGAGTAAAAGTAAATTCCCCATTATTGGTAAATAACATCAAAATATATTTTCAAACCATTTCTTGATATAAATAAGTATCTTTTCTAGGAATGGATTCCCTTTATATTAAAAAGCTTCTGTTAACTTGAATGAATAACACCCCAAGTCCTCAGGTGAGAAATGTTAATGAGTGTACACTTTGGCTATTTCTGGTTATTCTCCCCTTTTTCTTAGTAAGAGAATTCCAATCTTACTCAGAGTAGCAATGCATATGGCAAAAAGATTCAGTTTTCTACCCTCTCTTGTGGCTAAGTATAGCCATGTAATTAGGTTATGGCCAATGACATATAAATAAAAGTATTGTGTGGGACGTGTGGAAAATCCTTGTTTCTTCCTGCTGCTTGGAACATGGATGTGATGGCTGGAGCTTCAGAAGCCATTTTAGACCATAGAGAATGGAAGCTGCATGTCAGGATAGTGAAGATAAATATGAAAGGAGCCTAAATCCATGGTATCAGTGGTAGAGGCACCATTCTAGCCCTGGGTTTCTCACCTCTAAGATTTTTTTTTTTTTATGTGAAAGAGATAAAAAAAAACCCTTATTTTTCTTAAATTGGTATTAGGCTGGATTTTCTAGCATAGACAATTAAATGTAATCCTATATAATAGAGTATGCCAATACCAGGACCTCCTACTTTAGACCAGACTTGTTTATCTATGGATCTCAAAAATGAACAAAATATCATCTTAATTTTAAGCATCTAAGCACAAAGCCTATGCTTTTGGATCTTTTTTCATCAGAAATCTATTTTTGATTGGAATTGATTTCAATTCATTGACAAATACATTTAAAATCTGGAATTTCCTTTGTTCAAGAAGAGTATGGTTCATAGTAGAAATCATCTGTGCCTGCAATATACTTGCAAGGCTAAGAATTTCAGCAGCATAACTAAACAAAGACTTAAGTGAAAAACAACTTACAGATCCACTGGTTTCCTCATCAAGGCCACTCTGACGCTTTCGTGAATTCCTGCGGCTTTTATGAGTAGAATTCCTAACTATGCGATGAGTTTTCCAGCCATTTGGAGCCAAAGCCTCTTCATCATTTAGTTCTGACTGCGTCTGACTTTCTAATGTCTAAAAGAAGAACAAAGCATTGAATATGGTATATGTCGGTGTCCAGATGGATGTAACCTCCAAGTTTAGAACCATAAAGCCATTCTGAATATCACGTATCAAGACTTTTAGAGTCCCTAACAGCTTCTCAATAAAGACTAGCTGGATACTGTCAAGAAGTGTATCAACACATGGAGGTAAAAGAGGCTACAAAGGACAGAAAGGTTAAATTCAATTTAAACAATATGGGGAGCAGGGAATAGCTCAGTGGTAAAGCACGTGCTTAGTATGCACAAGGTCCTCGGTTCAGTCCCCAGTACCACCATCAAAAAATAAACAAAACAAATAAATAAACCTAGTTACTTACCCCCCACAATAAAGCTGATTATCAAGTTACTAAAAAATACAATTTAAGCAATATGAAAATTGGAGTATAAAAGTATTCTCTAAAAATTAAAAGGTAAATTTTTCATCATCCAGCAGGTATGGGGGAATTTCTTCAAGATGCAAGAATCCAGAGAACAAGTCATAGATCATCACAAAAGGGAAGAAGAAGAAATAGAAACATTATCAAGGGCTAATTTTTAAGCCACAGACAAGGAAAAGCTGGTCACTCCCCAAAGCTGCATGTCAGGATAGTGAAGATAAATAAGAAAGGAGCCCAAAGGAGGTAATTAAACTGCTTCCCTTGCCTGGCTGAGCACAGTCATCTTTCTTCCTCAAAGTCCCACCCAGATTCACCCACACCTCATCCCAGGTAACCAGTTCTGCAGGCTCAGCCTCATTGCTGGCTTTGGGATGAACTCTCTCTTTTCAAGGGGCAGGGGGAGGGATAATTTAAGGACCTTTAGCTCAAAGCTGGATGAGGGACTATCAACCCAACCTTCCTGGAGTCTCTTCTCTGTTTGCTGCCTCCATGTCTGAGTCCACATCTTAATGGACCTCAGTCCTTGTGGTATTGTCTTATTCTTGCTTCTCCCCTTCAAGTCCTGTCCCCAAACTCGCTCCTAAGGCTAGTGCCTTACTGCACCCACAGAAGACTATCGTGGGCTCTGCATCGTATCTGATCCTAACTTTCTAGCTGTGACTCAACCCCTGACAGAATATGGCCCAGGTGCCTTGAGCCACACTGCAAGGATCTGCTCTGCATGGAGGATTTGCTCACTTGCTTCTAACCGGAACTGCTTTATGCCATCTCCCAACCAAAAACCCAACCTAGATTCAAGACAGTCTTGGGACAGATTCCCACATGCTCACTTCCGCCCACCGCCACACTGCTATCAGATTCACTTTCCTAAAGGGAAATCACACCCCAGCTCAAGAATCCTCCACAGCTCCCCACCACGTGCTCAAACCTGGCTCCCCCAAATTCTAGCTCATGGCAAGTCAAACCGGACCACCTCTTACAAATGCCTTCTTTCATCTTCTTCTCCTTCTATAATCTTGTCCATGCTATCAAGGTGTCCATTTCAATAGACAGTTCTTCCAATAAGCCCGTTTGATCTTAGACTTCTTAGACTTCTTCTCAGACCAAATGAGTAATCCCTCTCTCTCTCTCATCATATTTTTTTCTGTGCCTTACCTAAAGCCCTCACTTGGTGGGTGCTGATGTCACTGAGCTCCAAAGCCAAGATGGACAATTTTCACTAGTTGATAAAAAGTTTATATTTAAAGCCAATAGTCCTTAATTCCTACACATGGATATACTTCAGCTGGCTCAAATATTTAATTGTAAAAAGTAAAGTAATAAATGTTGAAAGGAAATATGGGTAAATATCCTTTCTAAAAGAACAACCTCAAATCCTGAGGACACGGAAAGGACAAAAACGATAATCTCTTTACACACAATTTTAAAGTTCTTTTTTTTTTTTATGGTCACCAAACAAACTACAAAGTGAAACTGAAAGAACAAAGCAGGAAAAATATTCCCAATACATGCAAGAGAAGGGTGCATTTCCTTTTTATGCAAGAAGTTCTTATAAATCAGTAAGAATATCATGAAAAACCTAATAGAAAACAGCCTAATACAGAAAAAGATATCACAGAGGAAAAAATACAAATGGCCAACGAACATATGAAAAGATGTTCAGTATCATGAATCATTAAAGAAATCTAGAGATACTACTTCGCTCTTTTAGGTTAGCAAAGATGAGAAATAAATACCAAATGGCTGTCAGTGGTTATCAGCAGGGGTTTGGATTATGGGAGACTTTCAAATTACTAAGCTAGTCATGTTTGTACTGTTTTAAATGCTTGAAGTTTTAAAAACAAGAAGGATATACTGTACAACAAAGGGAATATAGCCAATACTTTATAATAACTATAAATGAAGTATAACCCTCAAAAACTGTGAATCACTATATTGTACACCTGTAACTTATATAACTATTGTACTTCAACTATATATATTTTAATACATGTACTATATTCTTCTATTTCAATAAAAAATAATGTATTACATTTATAGTCAGAAAAAAAATTAGGATACATTTAAAGGAAACAACTAATAGCCAACAGTCTACCTAATGGAAAAGCAGTGATCATTCCACTTAGAAACAAAACCAAGACAAGGCTGTATTCACACTAAGTTGGCCTTTGGAGTTTGAGGAAGAGGTAGCCACATTAGCTTCAGCACTTGGCGAACCCTCAGGCTCGCTGTGGCTCCTTCTCCCATCTCTCCAACAGTACCAAGTGAAAGGTAGGGCCAAGCCCAAGTCAGCGGTAGGAAAGGTGTGAGTACCAAGGGGTAGAAATTCAAAGGCCCTAAGAATCATAAAACGCCAGAGCTGGTAGCAACATCTGCGGTCATCTTAGTGCTGACCCTGCTCATTTAACAAGAGACCAAAATCCAGTTTGGTTAAATGATTGGCCCCAAACCACTGTCTAGTTGGTGACAGGCCTTTTCTGTCACACCAGGTCACTGTTCAGTCTTCAATCATACAACTTTTCCTAGGAAAGATAAGTTAGGGAATATGATGTTGAAAGGTCAGAGGTCGTTATCCCCTTGGCAGTCTGCCAGCCTGAGTCCTGCTGGGAGTGAAAGGCCATTCTTTTAGGGGCACAGAAATGGGCCAGCCAGGGGGAGATACCTCACTCAAGGACCCAAGATGTCATCACAGGCAAAATCGCAGAGCCTTAGTAACCATTAATGAAACGAAGGCGAAAACTGAATCAGAGTAACACTGCATGTGTTACCGAGTGTGTGCTGGCTAGGCCACGTGGAAGCAGTTAGCAAAGACACTAGGATTGACCCCCCCCCCCCCCGGCGGAGAATGTTCTCTAGAAAACTGAAACCAGAGTTATAAACTTATAGCTATCATTTCATTTAATATTTCCACTTTAGGGACTTTGCAAATTTCAATAACTATTACTCATCATGCATCTATTTGTGTCAAGTGCTTCTTTCTAAAAATTAAATAACAGCTTTATTGAGACATAATTCACATGCCATAGAATTCACCCTTTTAAAGTGATTTTTTTTAGTACATTCAGGTGCTTAATTCTTAACCTTATAACAACCTCGCATGGTAGGTTTTCTATTTAAAATGTGGAAACTGAGACTCAGAGGAGTTAAGTTACTTATCAGAAAACAAAGCAAATTTTTGACTTAACTTTTTTTAACCCTCACATGCTCCCAAGAGGCAATATTTAGAATAGAGAAATACTAGAAACAAACCAAGTATCCAACTCTAGCTTAAGGATTAAGCAATTTCTTATACATTAATATAATTATGAGCATCCATTAAAATGATAGTATCTGGATGATGTATATCTGAAATGTGAAGGAAAAAAGAACAAAACTACATACATACAAACAAGCTACAGTTATATCAAAGCAAATGTATATACTTTTATAAGTATAAGAATCACGTTTACAGAATAAAATATTTTAGGTTATTTATTTTGAAAAGTTGCTCAAAGAAGTAAGCACAATAAAATGTTCAATAATAAGACAAACCAATAATTGTAATTATCACCTATTTTAGGAACAAGAGTTAGATTTTCAAAAGAAAAACCAAACTATTCAGTTCCTAGAGCATGAGTCCTGCTATCGGTTTCATTAGGATCATCTGGGAAGCGCTCTAAATTCACGGAGGACCTCATCCAACCACAAGAGAACCTGGCATTGCCCTCTTACTCCTACCACCACTCTGATCAT